CCCTCACCTGAATCCAAGATTTAGATCGCCATTCTCCCAGCCGAGATTCATTGGACTGTTGCAGACCAAGAAAGACGCGTAATACGTCGTGATAGTATCTCTTGCATAGTTTGGAGAGAGGGGAACAACAAATCGGCAATCATGCCTCCGATATCAACAGGGGGTCCCAATCTTCCTCCTCCACATCTGGTGTTACCTGACTTCTTACAACTCGTCCGTTACAAGACCAGGAAGGTGCCGAGTTGCCTGCCGATACGTCGGTTAGCATTGCGGTGCAAAGGGCTTAATCCGGGTAAAGTGCCGGTATGCAATATAACCACGACACACCCCCATTCACAGCACATGTAAGTTGGCTTCTTGTTGACACTTTGCAGGACACGTAATTGGACCGCTTCACATATAGCCCTCGACAACCCAAAAGGGAAGTTGGTTTCAACGCACTGACGAAGCATTCCAAACAATCAAAGACCGAGCTGGTGGGACACCGTCTTGATAGTTGTCTGTTCTATTCAACTGTAGCCCTCGCTTACGACCCCGTCATGGGTACACTTGTGATCACAGGCCTACGAAGAGGTAGAGCCCGACTCGTCATAGGGTATCCTGTAGATGTCGGCATCACTGTCCACTGTTAGCCAAACCGTAATTGTACCCTCAAAGCATACCAGAAAATAAAACTTACAACTCCTTCTCAAACCTCGCCCGATCCTTCGCCTTCTCATTCACCCAAATACTCATGCTCGTCTGCCCACACACAAACTCACCAAACCCATCATCCCCAATCTTGATCTTGGCATCATTCCACCCCATAACATCAGTCCATACCTCCCCCGCGTGCATCTCACCAACATGCATTCTCTTGCTTCCCGGCCCAGCGTTGCTCATGACCACGGCACAGCCAAACGGCCTGTCCCAGGTACCATACCGCACCCAGCCGATGCAGGTAGGGTAGTCAAAGTAGTCGGCTTGCTGGCCGTACGAATACAGCTTGCGGGCTAGCATGATCCTCGGGAGATCACCACCGCAGGAGGGAGGGAAGGGGTGCTCGCCTTGGATGCCGTACAAGTCACCGTACCACACGCAAGGGTAGCCTCGGTCGCGCAGGAGGATGAGAGCATAGGCCAGAGGCTTGAACCAGCCCTCAATGGGAGCTTCGAGGGCCTGGTAGGGTTGGGTATCGTGGTTCATCACCAATGTCTAACCGGTTAGTATCGGCTTCAGCAAGTGCCAAGGAAGTGACTTACAACCGCCGAGACAGGCTGCGCCTGGACCAAGGTGTCGTCAAACACCTTTCTGAGGTCAGCCCCATTGGCCCTGCTGATGTCGCTAAAGTTATGAACCAATGGCGCGTCAAACAAGGAGAACTTGTACTTCATCCTTGCCAGGTAGTCGTTCTAAAGCCATGTTAGCCAGTAGTACCATGAGCTCTGAATAGCAAAAGCATCTCACCATGTCCTGCAACGAATCCTTCCAAAACTCCCCCACAAAGAACCACCCCGGCCCAAATTCCTCGTCCATATTCTTAATAAACTCGCGCAAAAAGTCCTCGCTAAAGTGCTTGACAGCATCAAACCGAATCCCCTTGATCGGAATCTCATTCGCAAGCCAGCTCCCCCACCGCATGATGTCCTCCCTCACCTCAGGGTGCTCATGGTTGATGTCGGAGCCCATGAGGAAATCATAATTCCCCTTCTCATCATCGACATCCCCATCCCACTCACTCGCCCATCCCTCCCCTTGCTCACCCGCAATCTTGTATATCGCCTTCTTCCCATTCTCGGCGTTAAAATCCACCCCGGTAAAATGATACCAATGCCACTTCATCCTGCTGTACTGCTCCTTTCGTCCCGGAAACTCAAACCCAACCCAGGCATCAATCTCATACTTGCCACTAACCACCCTTGTCCTATCATTCTCGTCAACCTCGACAACAGGACACCGCTCCTTGTGATCAGCGCCCATCTTGTGGTTGAGGACCGCATCCCAGTAGATCCCCACGCCGAGCTCCTTCGCTTTATTGCAAAGACTGACGAGCTCCCTTTTGGTGCCCCATTTCGTGGAGATGGTGCCCTTTTGGTCAAACTCGCCCAGGTCGTAGAGGTCGTAGATGTCGTAGCCGTTGCCGTTTTTGGAGGAGGCTTTGCATCCGGGGGGGATCCAGATGTTGTCGATGCCGAATTCTTTCAGCTGGGGGAGGGCTTTCGTGAGGCGGGCCCAGTGTTGTTGGTCGGCGGGGATGTACCATTCGAAGCCTTGCATCATGGTCATGTTCTCTGGTGTAGGCTCCCGCCTGGAGGGGGAGGGGGTGCGTTCGGGGTTGCCGCCCATGTTGATTGATGTTGTTGGTTGATGTAAAGGGTAGAAAATGAATAAATAAAAGAAAGATGAAGGCTAGGGGATTGGAGCGGTAGGATGTGGTTTTAAGCAGGTTGCCAGATACTCGACTCAGATAGAGATCTGGGCCTAGATTGGGTTCGACGGCAAACCAGGCTCGGCAGGGGCAGGCGGAATTCCATCTGTTGGAAACTTGGAAGCTTACTTGGACGTCATGGCCAGTTCGGGCAGCCTCCCCCCCCCGTGTGGGATACTCGGAGCCCGAGCCCTTGGGAGTGGGACGGAGGGTGACATCGGGGCGGTGAGCCTCCGGTCTGGACGCCTGGTCAAGGCGCAGCATCCAACATTGGGATGAAATAAGGCAGGAATTGACAGGGCCATGTTGAGGGGTTTATCTGCTTGTTATCGGACAGCGGTACTCGGATTAAATGGCTTTTTGTAGGGTTGGGGGATTGCCCCTCTTCAACCATGGACGACGGCAGAACACGTAGCCAGGTATTATGCTGAGTGCCTGTATCGTACCATCTCTACCACTTCAATGCCTTTCACCAAGACAGCACCTCAATCTCCCATCTAAGATTTCCTTCGAAAATGCTTATTCTCACGAGGGGCAGAGAAGACACGCCAAGACATGACGTCAGGTTCCGCAGCTGTCAAGTTCATCCAACACGGAACCCTGCACCTGTCAATGCTCCCTACTGCTGAACGTCCAGGCATGGAATGCCGATGCAAAGTCAATTCATCCCAGCCCGGAGCAATGAGGCGCCACATCAAGCAGCTGTGTATCCAGCGGTTCGAATGCGGTGGAACACCAATATGATATTCACTTGCACACTCGCCGTTGGGTGGTCTGGGCCAAGACCTGAGATAAATGCGGGGCTGTGTCGACCTGGCAACTGTTTGTTTACCTCGCCCACCAATGCAAGACTTGGGTGACTGGCAGAGAAAGCTCTCCTCCTCCTGTCACAGCACCCGTCACCGCCTTTCCCGCCCCCGCCCCCTGCTGCCGCCGCCTGTCACTTTGTGCCCGACCACCACCAGACCCGGCCACACCAGTCGGATCCTCCCGTCCTCCTCCCCTTGCCGACTGCCAGCGCATCGCCGAGTCTAGCCTCTCCACCCGGTGGAACTTGATTCGACCAATACTGCTGCACCGGCTTTTCGGTTCGTTGCCCGAGCGTCCAAGTGGTGGCTGGTATCTATAAACACACACAAAGTATGCCCCGGAAGCTCAAAGAGCCACCACCTCTGGATTTTGCAATCTTTTGTAGACCCCAGCGACCGAGACATGGCCGACGACGACACACGAGCGGCGCAGGTGCCGCTATCCACAGAGGTAGCTTTCCCCGCCGTCCATTGTGACCGTGGAAGGCGTTTGCTGACCGTCGTCGCATCGAAGCTGGAGCAGGACCCGGAAAAGCGAGAAACCGTAGCTCCCGAGACAAAACCTCGCGCCACCACAGCCGAAGACATCGAGGGGGAAGAGTCGGACGCGACGAGCACATATAGCGGTCGGGATAGCCCCAACCGACGAGAATCCACAAGCTCGCTGCTCCGCCAGCACCTCCACTCTCGCACCGCCAGCGAGGACACCGCCGATAACAGCTCCCACCACGGCGACGACGTATTTAGCGAGCATGGGTCCCGCAGCCACAGTTCCGTCGGGTCGGTAGATGGAGGGCACGATTCTGATTCCAAGACACCCCAAGGAAAGGACAGCCAATCTCGTCGACAGTCGTGCGCCTCGAGTAGGACATCCGAAAGCAGGAACTCGGATAGGATCGTGTCCGGCGTGTCGACTCGGTCGGCCCGCTCGTCGATTCGCACCCCCTCCGAAGTCCGCGCATTGCAGACGGGCTCTCCCATACCTTCAGTGTTCGACGGAAGCTCCGCCAGGCCGAACAAGCGACACAGCGGAACGCCCGTCATGTTTCCCACAGTATCCCGGATCGGCAGTCCCACCATCCAGGTACAATACTCTCCCAAGGGGCGAACAACACCGAGCCGTTTCAAGGTCCGAACAGAGGCTCCCCTCGTTCTTCTCCACGTTACCCTCCTGCCTCTTCGCTGGGTCTGGGGCGAGACGCTTAATGGACTCGATCTCGTCAGCGGTAAGACCATCGACGAAGGGGGGCTTCCCTATGTGGCCTCGGACGAAATCAAGGCCTTGCGCGATTCGTGGCGTGATCTGCAGGACCGACTGGGCGACACTGTTCTCGAGCGCGGTATTCTTCTCCCACATCCGCAGAACGATTTCGAGGTGCTTGAAGAGCGTCTCCTCGAAGCTCTCGAGCTACCATTCAAGAGAAGAGCCAGGATCTTGGAATGCGGGCACTATCTCGGTCCAGCCAACGTGACGGCCGAAGACGATGAGGAAGGCGAGTTGGAATACTCAAAGTCAACTGAGGATAACCGGCATTGGTGTAAGGAATGCAAGACCGAGATCCGCTATGAGAAGCTGGGCTCCAGCAAGATTTACCGGGTAAAGGTGTACGCTAGCAACGGACTCATGAAATCCGGCGCCTGGGAAGCCTGCTGGAGGGAAATGGAGCGGGTGGACTGCGAGGTCGAACTGATTCTCACCCCAGCAATGCAGCATGAGCTCGAAAAGGTGGCCGTCTTCCAGCTTGAGCAGGAGGAGCAGCGACAGAGAGACCTGTTGCTGGATGCTGAGGCTGCGGCCAAGTGTGGGCTCACTCCAGAGGCGCAAGCCGATGCCCAACGATCTCGCCCGACGTCTTGTCTGCATGGCTCGCGGCCTTCTTCTGGTCTGCATGTCGAAGTCCAGCCATCGACACCTGAGCCACCAATGGAACCCTTCGATCGGGTGACCTCACCAGAGTTCCTGCAGCCCCCGTCATCATCGCGTCCCCGCGCGGCACAAGACGGCCTTGACACATCTGAAGAGCGTCGACGTCGCGACGAAGAGCGGATGCGCGAAATCTATGGCGACATGCCCCCGCCTGAACCGATCCCAACCCCAGAACCGGCTGCCGAGCGTGCACCTTTTGCAAGACCAGCGCCCTCGGTCGGTGAAGGTTACGGGTCTGTTCCGGTATCCCAAGCTCTCGTAGCCATCACGCCAACGTCTAGCCTCGATCAGTCATCGACCCTCCGCGACCGACACCCCGACTCGTACATTGCGCCTCCCACGCCCCTCTCACCCTCTGAAGTCATTCGCGAACGCCGAGCCGAGTACGAGCGCCGACAGGCTGAGCGAGCGCAGAAACGTCAGCGGGAGCTCCAAAACGCGGGATTTATCGATTTACTTACCGAGGCATTTAGGGTGGCGTTGGATAACGGGAATGAGACGGTGAAGGATGGGTGGACATATGTCAAGGCGGGCGCGCTGGTGGCTAGGGACTTTTTCAACGACCCGAAGAATGTGGCTATTGTCGTGTTGGTGTTGCTTGTGGTTGTAATTGGGCTGGGGAATCGACAGCAGGACTTGGCGCCTGCCACGTACAAGTCTGAGCCGAGGCCGGAGAATTATGCTGTTGAGAGGGTGCCTGAGGCGAAGATTGAGGCGAGCGTGCCCGAGGCGACTGCGGGTTTGGCTAGTACCGAGGATGGTTCGATGGGCTTGGGGGGTGTTGTTTATGGTGTTGCTTCTGATCCGCCTGCTCAGCCTCAGAGTGTGGTTGTTGAGGAGACGCCTGCTGTTGAGGTTGAGGGTGAGGTTCCGTCGACTGAAGTTGCGGAGGAGGAGGAAAAGGTCCCCGTTGTCGAAACTGTTGAGGAGGGGTCTGTTGCTGCGGAGGAGGAGGAGGCGGAGAATAACGTCTCTGAGGCTCCGGTTGCCGCGGTTACTGAGGCTAGTGCGGAGCTTGTTCTCGCATCGGCGGCGGTCAATGCTGTGGCTCAGTCAGCGCAGAATGATGTTGCCGTTCCGCTGCCCGCCGAGCCCGCCGCCGAGAAGCCCGAGTCCGGGGTTGAGGTTTACGGGGCCGCACCCAAATCAGACGATGAAACTCCCGCCGGCGCTGTTGCCAATGGTGAGAGGGGGGTGGAAGTCTCTGGGGCTGAGGCACCGAAGCCGGAAGCGGTGGAATATGGTCTTGAGCAGGTCGTTGCCGCCGGCGGGAAGAAGGCCGACGCACCCCCGCAAGAGTCTGGTCTTGAGCAAGTCGTCGTTGGGAAGAAACCTGGTGGCAGTGAAGAGTACGGCGGTCTAGAGCAGGTCGTCATTGGGAAGAGGCACTCGACCGTTATCGACTTTATCCCCGGCCCTTTTGTCACGCAGCACAAGACTGTGCGCGTGTTCGAGACGGTGACGGAAATTGTGCGGGTCAGCGTGGTGACCAAGACGCAGACTGTGTCGAGGGTTGTGACTGCCATACCGCAGACGGTGGAGCAGACTGTTTATGAGACTGAGACGGTGAAGATTACTGTTTCGCTGCCTGTGGAGGAGGAGGAGAGCAAGACGACGACCACCGAGACAAAGAAGGCTACGGCTACGAGGAGGAGGTTTTGGTGAGTCCTTTTACTAGAGGGGGATGATGTCTCTTTTTTAAGGGGAAGTTTGTCTACATGGGAGTGGTAATTTCTTTGTTTGATGGTGGTGGTGGGGGAGGTTCTTTCATGATGGATTACGAAACGTAAGGTACTTATATGTTCTGTTGGATATGATCTGGTGTGGTCTTGTACGTATGGGAAATTGTTGGATGAATTAAACTTGTGGGTTCAGCGATGAAAAAAGGAGGAGGAGGCTTTTATTTCTTTGTCTTTCTTTGGGGAAGGGATGGGGAAACCGGGGGGGGCATTTGGTGTTTGTGTCTTTTGATGTCGGCATAGCAAGTAAGCATAGCAGTAAAAAGAATTGACTTGATAGGCATTGAGCTGAATTGTAACTACTCTTTGTACTTATGATGGGGTGATCAAGGTGACATTCTCACGACTTTCGTATTCATTCTGTTGAGTTGTTGTTTCATGCCCGGTTTATGTAAGTGTCGGTGTTCAGTCTGGGCTGGGCATGGCATCCAAAAAACAACTCCGAATTTCACACTGTGTTGAGGAGCATTCAGGATGAGATGAAGTAGGGGGAGGAGTTAGGAGTGTGGTCTTCACAGGCCAGGCAGTAGCTACAGGCACGATGAGCTAAGTGCCGAGGGTAGCAGTAGACCATCTTACAGATCCAAAAACAGCAAAACAGCAGCACAACTCTCGAGACTATTACCTCTTCCAAACAAACAGCGTTCTTACCAGCCGGCAAGTCCCAACCCTACAACCGTCACCCTTAGCCCTCCAACAAGCCACACAGACCCAGCTAGGGGAGGGCATATACTTTCCAGTTCCAATTCCAATTTCCGTGGCTCGGTGGTATAGCGGTTACTACACTCCCAAGTTTGAGCGAAGACCTAGGTTTGACTTCTGGCCCGTCCACACAGCGTTTTTGATTTTCCAGGGCGGCGTGTCCAGCGTTTCCTTTCTTTTGTTTTTTGTTTTCTCTTTACTATCCCATACTCCGCACAGTAAAGCGTTTCTTCCTCTAATCATCACCTAGTGTTGTGCAGTTGTATTTCAGGAAAACTTATTCCCTTAAACTAAGAAAAAGACTACCAACTATCCTCCCCCCCATCCCCCTCCTCCCAATCCCTCTCTAACCTCCACGCATCCCCACTCTCGATCCCCTCCATCAACGCAATATCACACCCCCTATGCCCCCACTTCTCCGCAAACACCTTCCTCCCCAACTCAATCGTCATCTGCGTCCCCACCTCAAACCCAACCGCGTCCCGATAGAACGGCTCGTCTTGCCCGCCCCTCTGCCTCAGCTGCCAGGTATTCCTCCCCGAGTTGTCGTTACTATGGTTGTACTTTACATCCTGCATCACCTCCCCCAGCTCAACCGGATCCTCATACACCGTCCCGTTGAAACTCGCTTGGTAACCCGGTAGTGACAGTAGCGCAGCAAAGTCATCAACCACTGTCTTGACGTCAAAGATGCGCCCTACATCGGGCGACTCCCCTTGCCAGAAACCAGCCCACATCAGGCGGGTGTACATGTCGCAGTCGGTGGAGTAAAAGGGGATTTGGGTGTCCCAGCCGCCGGTGGACAAGACAGAGGCAGTGTTGACGAGGGTCAAATGGTCGTAGGCGAAGAAGTGATGAGCCCACCTGGGAGCGGCGGGGGTTTTGAGGTACTGCATGACCGACAAAACGTTGGAGTAGAGAGTGGATGAAGGGTCACCGGGTGGCGAAAAGACGAGGAGGTCTTGATGGGACCAGAAGAAGTAGTCCCAGTTGCGGTTGAGGGCCGTCCTTGGGGGGTGGTTAGTCTCCGTGAGGAGAGGGAGGAAAAGGGGGGCATACCAGAGGTAAAAGTTTTGGAGTTGGGCAAAGGTCAACAGGGTGGGTGTCTTTTTTTTTTTGGTTTTTGCTGTTTAGTATACCTCCCATTCTACGCAATCAAAAGAAAAGACAGGAAACTGACAATGATGACATTCACCCCCAACATCCCCAGCTGGGTATGATTCAAGTAAAACGGATTCTGCAACGTCAACCGCCCCTGCCTATTGCTAAACATGGTCCCGGTGTTTTCCACAACATAAATGCTGCTCGGTGGCCACCCTGCAGCGATGTAGCTCGTGACGCATTGCAACAACAGAGGCCAGTTCCGGGTGAACCCTATCAAGAGCGGCGCCTCCTCTTTCGATTGCCCTCTCGGCGGTTTGGGGACATGCTGCAACAGCAACTTCCTCGGCGGAGCCGGGTATTCAGACAGCAAAGGGAACGGATCCGGTATGGGTGGTGACTCTTCAAGCTCAGGTTTGTACGGTGGCTTCGGGATTGGTGGTGCGTCGGGATCTGACCAGGTAAAAAACGAGGATTCAAGTGACGCGAGCGGGACTTGTTGGCGTTCTTCTATTGGCGGGGTTGTTCGTCGTGATGATTGTTGATCCGGCCAGAGGATGTCAAAGTTTAGGGGAAACTTGTGGTGGTTGAGGAAGGAGTAGGTGAACAGAACGCAAGAGACGGCAAAGAGGAGACGGTACCGGGAGCGGGAGGTCATGGCTTTTTCGGCGGTAGTGGTGCCACAGGATCTACAAAGGGAAGGCACGAGGGGACATGATGGAGGCAGGTGGGGTTGGGGAGAGATAACATCCAGTGGGTGATGTGTGATGAGGCAAGCGGTGAGCAAAAGATGATTACTGATGGCTTGTCACATCACCAAGGCAACATTACATTTGTTATCGTGATTTGAGATCCATCTCAGCTAATCCAACGGTGGCCACATTTCCCATCAACAACTGGTGGAAATATCCCCCTTGGAAACCGTGGATCTAGCCCGGCAGTTTGCCTGTGTTGTTATAGTGCTGAATTAGTCTGAAACCCTGGTACACCCACGAGGTTACCTCGTTTCCTTCCTGGGTGGAAGTCTAGGCTCCGTGGCCTGGCCCGGGAAATCGGGACGGGACGAGCTCGCTTTAAGATGGGGGCGAGTGGTCGATCGTGAGATGGAGCTAGTCGAGAACGGTGGGAGGGACGACGCTGGACGCGTAAGCTGTTCAGCGTTGGCTCAAAACCCAGCACTGTGTTATTTAGAGAATGGATTTGCCCCAGCTTCATCACTGTTTACATGTTGACGGCCACTCCAAGAGGAGGAGGATACACCTTCAATCTTGTGGTCACTACCTACCTACCCAAAGACCCTTCCCCCGGATCTCCAGATGCTCAACCATCACTGCACCTTGCCTTTTTCTTTTACCAACTAGAAACAGAATCCATCCCCCACCACGGAACTCCCTCCGCCAACCGTCCCATTCGCTTCACCTTTCTATATCACCCGCCAAAAATGCACTTCCCCTCCAAGCCTTCCCCCACAACCCGCGAAAAAGCTTATCTCAACCGACCATAGTCCAGACCAGGTTGCATCCAACCCCAGCCGGCACTTCAGACTTTAGCCGGTTCTCGTCCGGCTCGACATTTTAGCTCCCCTCACCAAAGAGACCAGTTTTCCCCCTGGTTTATATAGATAGGATAAATAGAGTGTCTGTGCGACACATGTCTTTTGATCAATGTCTGTGAACTCAACGTGAATCGCTCCTCTTCTTCCAACAACTCATCGCCAGTCAAACCTACACACCACCACCACCACCGTGTACACATGTAAAACATAAAGGACAACATAAATATACACAAAATACATGGTGCTTCCTCCCTTCCCTTCATCTCCCACCTCACTCGCTTTCTTTTTGCGGTATACACAACTAGTAATGCAACAAAAATACAACACATGCAGAAAAAAGAAAAATTGGAAACGAACGAAAAGTAACAGGAACAGGAAATAAACAAGATTTCTACTCATCTTGTCAACAGTTGTTGCCACGCACAACAACAAGAATGCTATCCAGAACACCATTCTTTCCCTTTCCCTTCCCCTCCCTCCTTCCCTTCCTCCTATTTACAAAAAAGTTCCCAATACAACAGCAATAATAAATCTGTAGAATGAAAAAACAAACAAGAACAAGAAAAAAAAAAGCACTGGTATATGCCTCCCCCAATCTCGCAATAATCCAAACAAAACCCCTCCTCCACAAACCACACAATAAAAAGAAAGCGTGGTAGTGTCTGTACAAAAAAGAAATAATTGACCTTGAAAAAGAAAATCCACAAAAGAAACGAAAAAAAAAAAAAAAAAAAAAGGGTCCTTGTCAAACGAAGAATCAAGCACACCACCACCCCTTTTATCTTTCCTGCAATGCTTGCTCATACCCACCCCCTCCTCTGCATCATCAGATGATCCTCCTTCACAGCAATGTCCCTCAAAGCCAGAACCCGACAGGCAGCCTACTCCTCATCAACGCCCCCCAGCCCCACCACTCCCGCCTGCTGCTTGGCATTATCCTTACTACTCTTCTTCCCCAGCCTCAGCAAGCTCAGCCGCTTCCTCACGCTCCCGCCCGTAGTACTGCTGCTATTAGTGCTCTCCCTAGGCGTCTTTTCGCCGTTGCCATGCGGGGATTCAACCGCCGTAGCGGTACCACTCAGGCCGCCCATGAAGCTGCCCCCAGCCGAGTCCGTCACCCAGTCGTTATTGGTTGTCGTCGTCGCGGTGGTGAGATGGCTGCCCCCCGTGATACCACCTGGTGAGATGGAGAAGCCGGCCCCGTCCATGCCGTTGGTCTGGACCGTAAGACTAGGCCGGGCGTCGTTTGAGGCTGAAGTTTGGGTGCGGAAGCCCGAGATGAAGCTGCGGCGGTTTTCCTTGGTGCTGGCGGCGCTGTCTTTGGGCGAGTCCTCTTGCACGTCACCGTTGATGGTGGGTAATGGTGGGGAGCCATCCTTGGAAAGCTCCTTCTTGCGGCCACCGAGGAAGCTTAGGCGGGCGCCGCGGCCTTGGCGGATCGATACCGGTCTGATGACGGCAGCCTCTTCTACTCCGGTGATAGCAGACATGCCGCTGATCGAGGGCTTGGAAAGGTGAGGGATACCGCCGACAGTCGACGGAGGGGAGCGCGGCCATGTTGGTGAGGGCGTAGTGCTTGCCTCACGAACAGGCGGGGCAGCTGGCGTGAACAGTGCGATCTCTGTGGCATATGTCGTCTCAAAGTCTGCAGCAACAAATATCGTCAGCATGTATCTCCCAACAGTCAGTCGAAGGAAGGGAAGAACTTACACTTTTGAAGATCCTCAACATGTCGCGTGAGAACCTCAACACCAGTCTTTGAGAGAGTGGCCAAGCACCTCTTGAGCAAGATAGCATGATCAACCAACGCCATCTTGATGGCATTCTCCTGAGGGTTCAGCTCAGGCGGCTCAAACTCCTCCTCATCCAGCTCGCTGTCCTTTGCAGGTGATTGTGCCCCGTGCCTGGTCATGCCGGGAATTAAGTCCCGGTAGCAAACCACGCTGCTCTCGGAATTTGGGTTGACGCTGATGCCCACAGCATCAAACAGCAGTTGCACAGCCTCGTCGCCCCCTTCGCCATCTGATATCTTGCGCTCTAGAATAGACATCTCCGCCGTCTTTCGCACGATTCTCTCCAGAGCAGTCTCTCTGGCTGATAACCTGACCTCACGCACGGCAACAATCTCACTCCTCCTCAGAATCGTCGGGAATGGCTCCGCAGTCGTGTAGATGATCTTTTCGGCGCAGTGTTCCTCCACAGGCCCGGTGGTGTTCCTCCTGCTGCTAACAGAAAACTCTTGAGGGTGAGCAGAGACAAGATAGTCCCTGATGATCTGCGGAACCCTGGCGCGCTGGAAGACATGATGCCCCAGGTCGCGGTGAGGACTCAGTGCGGAGACCACCAAGAACTGACCCTCCACATCGTCGATCTGGTCACTAAGCACAATCTGAGCAGATGGGTACATCTCTTGCATTCTGTCGGTAAACCCGGCAGTCCGTTCGGCAGGGGTGGCTTCAAAGACAAACTCCTTGTCGCGGACATTAGCCGGGAAGCCCAAGCCCTTGTAGATGACCTTGAAGTACTTGGGCACCAGCCTGTCGCTCTTGGCGATGGTCTCGTAAATGTTGGCGATGGCCCTTTCGGTGCGGGCAAGTTTGGCAAAGTCAAAGATGTTGGTCTCATACTGTTGCTGGAGCTCTTTGTATGCCGCCAACGCGCTACTCCATGCTTCGCCGTCCTCAAAGTGCTTGATCATATCAAAGTAGATCCGCTCTTTTCTTTCAAAGTGAGTCTGCGCAGGGAACTCGGGGTCCGGCAGCGGTGGTGTTGTTCTAAGGGGGTCCCAGTCGTACAAGTCGGCATGTAGCCTCAGCGCCAGGCCGGCTTCAGCGTGATTCCTCGCCTCGGCCTGCAGGTTCGCCAGTTGGTGCACGTAGCGGATGAATATCTCCTCCTTCTGCATATCCCTGAGGAATTCCATCAATCTCAAACGGTGGATGAGGTGTGATGCCTCGCCCGATCCATCACCACTGTGGACAGCAACCAGAAGATCCAAGAAGACGTCCACCGTGCCCATAAGTTCTCTGATAGCCTGGTAGAGTGGCTCGTCTTTCAGCCTGCTCAATGGCTCAAACCGCTCTAGTAATTCTCCAACAAACAGCTTCTGCAAGATGCTCTCCGTCAGCGGCTTCTCCTTGAAATACACATCCAGACAGTCTATCATCTCCGTTTGTATGACGCTGAGGTCCTCGCTCAGAGTCCACTCGCTGACAATCATCGTCTGAAGCACCTCGACAGCCATGCGTCGCAGCCCCTCGTGAACACTCAAGCAAAGCTCAACAATGGGCCCAACCAATGTCGGCACGTACTGGACTTGATAACCGCCCATCTTGGAAAGACCGTAGCGAGCACGCTCCTCAAGGCTCGTCTCCCAGCCAATGGCCTCCCATGTCCTGCGGAGGAGCTCGGCACCGTGTTCCCGGACATCACCGGCAATCTTCCATACGGCCCGGCGCTTTTGCTCGGGAAATGTCTCGAGCGCAAGAGATGGGCTGCCGACCAGTTTGAGGAGCGTGGTGAAGAAGAGCTTCCACAGCTCGGTGCTGAAGTTCTCGGCCTCATCAGGATGTGGTAAGAAGGACTCGAGCAGGATGCTGGCGAGGTACTGCAATGTCCGCATAGTTGACTTGTGGTGAAAGATGTGCACGCTGAGCCAGTTGGAAGGAAACGTCTCGCCCTGGAGGATACTCATGTGCACCCGCAGCGAGTTTTCCACCACGATATTGAGGTCGTCTTCTGCCAGCTCAAGCTGCATTCCACTTGGCGAAGTAGAAAGCGCCGACAAGACGGCAGATAGCTCAATAAGCGCCTCGTCAAACACCACCTCTCCGGTGATCGCTTTGCTGGGGAAGGGGTATGAGGTGGGGAACAACAGAGATAGACGATCTTTTGGCTTCTTCGGAATAGCGTTGAGGGCGAGGTAGGACTGGATGATCTTGGGGATGTAGTCGGGAATTTCAGGGCCAAGGTGTTCAACCTGGCTGGCGAGGACGGAACAGCATAGCCGAACCTGATCCTTCCATTGCTCGGTAACCTCCTCGGTGTACCCCCAGTGCGGTGCAATCCACCTGACGGTATTGGCGCTCAGGGCAGACCGCTGTTCTGGGTGAGAAAAGATGTCCAGTTTGGCATAGTTGATGATGAGAACCAGCTTGTACAGGACAAGTTTGCCCTTGACCATGGAGCAAGAATCCATAAAGTCAATAGCAATATGGAGAATCTCTTCCGTGGTCAACAGTCCAGCCAGCTCTGGGAGCCAAGTGTGAAAATGCTGAACAGCAAGCGTCTGGCTTCCCACCAATACCGGTGCTGTACTCCGCATCATGGCATCGAGGGCCTTGAAGATGCTTCGAAGGTGGCGCGTGAACCCAGGGTTTGTACTGGTGATCCCAATGCCGGCCTCCTTGACCTTTTGCTGGCCGCGGGCATGCGTGATGAACTTGAGAATATGCCGTGCCACCTTGAAGGTAGCGCGCAGTTTCCTTGCCGTTTCTGGTTCAGTTGGCTTGGACAAAAGTCGAGTAAACGATCTGACCAGGCAAGGCGTCGCAAACGGATAGTTGAACTTGCTCTCAGCATACTGGTCGACCAACGGAGACAGGTTGAATCGTCGATCGTGTACAATGTCGAGCACCCTAACCAGCGCGGTGAAGACGAGGTCCTCATAGTCATCGTTACCAGAGTAGGCGACGAGAATTCCAAACAAGGCATCCAAAACATCGTTGAGCAACTTGACAACCTCAATCTCGGCCACAAAGATGAACTGCTTCAGAAGATCAGGAATTGCTTCCTGCGCAGAGTCCTTCCACCCCAGTAGTCTCAACATGATCTTGTCCTGGGAAAACCTTGTGCTGCAAAGATATGTCTCCACGCGAACCATGGCGATTGGGCCGGTCACTTCTGCCTGGTGCTCCTCCCTGCCCCTGAAAGCAAACGGCAGGCTGAGATACCCGCCCTTGCCCTGCGCATTTTGCTGTGCAGAGACGGTATTTTCGTCCAACCGGTAGAGAACCAAAGAGTGAGAACCATCGTGGATGAAGGCTTGCTGATCCCATAGGGGCATGTATGCGACTGCAAAGGCGCTGTTGGGTGCATCCGCAAGCTGCATGACAACATGGGCTTGGTGCACATCCGCTGGCGCGATCACCAGCTTGATGGTTTGTTTCCATGGCTCCCCACGCTCGGCAGCAACCGTCTTCCAAGTGCTGATGCACTCGGTATTGGAAGACGGGAATATGCAATTGTCGATGCGCTCGCCTGAGTGCCTCCTCACTTCGAGTGTGAGCTGCAGATTGTTCCCGTGAATACTACTCGGAAGGGATGCCGGGCTGCCGCCATATCGAGACAATAGCGTTTGGCGGGTCAGGGCCGCCTCGTCGATTGTCAAATAGATGTCAGACCTCGGTTTTGTTGGCGCCCCTGAGAATCCCATCTTGTTTGTTTTGCAGATGCCCGCCAACACGGTGGGGGTGGCTTTGATGAGCACATCCGCATCCGGGTTGTTGAAGGCACGCAAATGTACCTGGAGCCGCTCGGCTCTCCTCGACTTCTCATAAGAGCCGGGCTTGCTGTCCAGGACCTCACGTATTACCGGGTCCCATTCCTCTCCGTCTCCACGCTCTGTCGCAAACCGGGCAGACGGGGCCCACAGGGTCACGATATGTTCCACCTCATCCTCCTGCTTCATGGTAGAGTTCAGCCTGAGCAAGCCGACACCCACTGTCCTGTCAGCAGTCTGGGTGACGTATCCGTCCACGGAAGACCGCCCGTTCTTGGAATTGGCTGTGCTCGGCGGATGGCCATCTCTGCTCTCGGCCCCTGCTGTGGCGGGTGATGCTATTTCCTCCGGCTGCTCAGATAGCGAATCAAGCTTATTGTTGCCTCGGGAGAATGCGGACCTTGTGCTCTTACCCGCCCACATCAAGCTCCGGCGCATTGACTTGTTCCCGGAAGACAATGGTGGTTTTGTTGGATCCTTGGAGAATTGTGGCAAGCTCTGCGACATCGAACCAGACCTAGAGCTAGGCTTAGCAGCAACCACCTGTTGCGGCGCGCGAATCTTGACAATGAGGAACAATTCGGAATCAATCGAGGAAACGTCTCCAATCTCAGCGGCAGTAAGATCAGCAAAAAGCGTCCGCATTTGGTTGTTTCTCGTCAGTTGGCCCATCTGCCCACCGCCAGGCATTTCGACGATGTAGCTTTCGGATATGGTGGTGAGCTTGCCGCCTCCCGTCTTGGTCGCCAGATACAACACCAGAGTGGTCGCCTCGGTGGATGCGCCTGCCAGCCCCTTGATGTCTACCAGTAGGTGGTGGAGCGCCGTCAGTTCGATCTGGGGCGTGGGTGTCTCGTCCAACAGGCTCATGATGGACTGCAACCTCGTTATTTCTACCACCGAATCGTCTCCAGTCAACACCCTCCCTCGGGCGTGCGGATCGCGCACGATAACCTCCCCACCGCATAGCTTGTTGACCCGAACCAAGTCCCAAACCGTCTTCTCGCGCAGATTTTCGTATTCCCACGTCGTAAGTACATCGTGCAAAAACTGTTGTCTAGAGAAGTTGAGCGTAACTATAAGCTGTGAGAGATTGTCGAGTTTGGCGTATTGACGGGTCAGGAGTAGCTCGTGGAGGTTGGTCGAGTGCCATTCTCGCAGGCACGACGCGATCTCGTCGATGAGCGGTTCCGAGGCTGAGGTGGGCGTCTCGTCACCAATCTTGAGCATTGGTACTGGGGCTGGCTGACGAGGCGCATTTGGATCCCGCCGCACTGGCACCGAAAGCAACCCATTCTTCTGCAGGCCCCTATTCCTGTCTTTCCTCCTCTTTTTCTCGCCATTGGGAACCAATCCACCCTTGGCAGAATCGCTGCCTATGTATAGGGGGTCTGTCGCAACGCCATCCTCGCTGTCGGCCTCATTGTCGTCTGTTTCGTCGCTCTCGCCGAGCACTTCGCGTACTTCGACACAACTCCGCGGAAAGATGCCGCTGAATACGCGGGCCTCGAGGGTGTGGCCCTTTACGCTTGTTAAACCGGCAAGCAGACTCGGTGGTGAAACCAGGTACCCGCGAAACCAATCACCGTCGGGTGTCTCTTCAATGATGTACAGCTCGTCGCCCAATTCGAGGGGTAAGTCGGCGGGACTCGAGGCAGCGAAGGGGTAGGTCGCTACGGCGAAGGCGATGCGAGGCAGCGGTTGCCAGGGCATTGTGTCCAGCCGGAAGGCATCTATAGTCTCTCAAGTCGCGAGTTGAAAGTAACGAGCGCAGCGCAGTTGGGGAAATATGATTCGGGGGTGGTCCCTGGAGAGAATTAAAAGGCGATTGCGCGTGCGCCTTTCCCGTCAAGAGAGCGATGGGGTCGCCGGGGACCGTCCCAAAATGATGATTTTGCGTCGGTCGGTCGGTCGGGACAATATTGACGGGCCGGTGCACGTGGTCGAATCGTCGTCGTGCTCGTGAGAGGGTCGTCTGTCTGTCTGTCTGTATTTCTCAAAAGATGTCGGAAAAAGCTTTGACGTCGACGCTGCTGGGGAGAGCGGGCACGGCAGCGGCGCAGGGAAGGGGCTGTCTGGGTCGGGTTTGCTGCGATGTCACCTCTATTTCTTTTAGGGATTATTGATTTTAGCAAGCTTCCAGCTGGGCGGACTTCCGGGCTCTGCACACCACGGAACGTTTGGAAGCCTGGGGGGGAAACGAGTGTGGGAATGGCGAAATTGGCGAGAAGGAGCGAGCGAAGGGAATTAAGGTCGGTAGGAAGAGCTCACCCCTGAAGCAAATCGATGTGCGTCGGAGTTGAACAGCGGGAGAGGGGAAGCCACTTTTGCAGGGGTCTCGATTTGGCACTGGACAAATTGATGGACTGAGAATGTCTCTGCCGACCACACTTGTTGATCAAATCTTTGGGGGTTTAGCAATTAAGGTTCCGACACTGGACTCTCCCCGAGAGTGCGTTTTGTTGAAAAGGTTGGCGCGCTCTCTGTTTGTAGTAGTGTAGTAGCAGTTTACCTATTGACCTGGGGCTGTTTGGCGCCAGCAGATGTGCTGTGCTGATGAAGATTTTTTGTGATCTAGTTTCTTTTTTTCCTAAGTTTTCTTCCTGCAGCGGTAAACTCCATGTCTCACAATATGACAACTCGATCGATGGACGTCTTCTTCCCAAATTGGCTGATCTGCGTGTACCTCTGCGGCTGCGGCCCGTCGAGCGACTTACCCCTGAGCTGATGCTTGTTTGTGTGGAGCTGTCCCTCATCAGAGTCAACAACTGTTGTTCTGATGCCTGCTCCTCACCCCGTGATGGTCAGCAGTCTGCTCTATCAAGGCCGTATCGTATCTCCCTCACCGTCCAACACACACACACACACACACAAAACCTGGAATACTGATCTGGAAGATGGCACGCTACGTGGGAGAACTGATGCTAAACGCTCAGACCCTTTCGGATTTGCTCCATCAGCCAATTCCCCACACTACGCATCAGTGGGTCTGTGCTTATCCGCACCCCGGTGGAGGTGGTCTGGACTTGCTGGAAGCTTTCACAAGTGCAACTTGACTCGATGTTCAGTATCATTTTGAGTCGAGGTAGGAAAAGAACACTTTAGTCTTATCTTGAATATCTTTTCTTGCAACTCAAGCCGGTTGAAGTCGAAGCATCCAAGATGGCCCGTTGCTATCATCAAAATTAAGTGGACCCTAGCTTTCGTTCCTGCATCAGTGGCCGGGATGACTGCGCAACAACCACCTCAAGCTCGGGTTAGGGTTATGAATTAGTGTCAACCTGCTGTGCCTCTTCACCAGGCATCACAGTGTACAGCCAACAGCAAGAACTGGCGAAGACGCACGTCTTGTGCATATACCCCGCTTGACAGCCTCTGTATCAGCTGCTCTACCCCAAGCACGATGCTGCCGATACTCTTCCCTCCTCGTCATCTCGTTCTGAATTTTCCCAGCAACAATGGCTGAGGTCGCGAACATTGTTGCAGGCGTCTTTCAGTTGATTCCTCTTTGCAACGGTATGAATTCTTTACCTGGATATATCGGTGTAATAGTCCGAGAGCTCTAACAAATAATAGCCGGATTCGTTTTGATCAAAGATGTTGTACAGCTAGAGCAGAAACTAAGCGAGCAACAGATATGGATTCAGAATCATCAAAACGTATGATACCTGCCGTCCTAACATGGTTAGTAGATAAGGGTATCTACTAACAAATGTCTAAAGAATTTCTGGTCATGGTGTGAAATATGGGGGCCTTCCGAAATTCGAGAACGAAAGTTCAAACACTACGCCCAGGACAACCCAGTGAGCGCCAAAGCTGTGCTGCGTCAGCTGGCTCTCAACTCTCGCCTGTTCTTTGACATCAAAGGCCTTGACCGATACGGCTTCGAGATCAAGAAGCTGATACCCACGGACCACCGAATTCAACAACTTGACAATTTTCACTTTGAAACCAATGCTGACCTCGACCCGCAAAACATCAACCGCTTCGAGGCCAAATGCAACACCAACTTATTGGTGATGAGAAGAATCCAGTTCTCACTGGTAAGCGGTGCAAAGGGCGTCGATGAACTGATTGCAAGATTCCGAGAGTTCAATGAGGTCTTATGGGGTTATGGCCAGCCCTTGGAACTGGCCCGTCTAAACAAGGGCATATACGACAATCTCAATCAGCTGACGGGAGATCAACTAAATAAACTTCTCGCCGCCTACACGCGGGAGTCTGAGACCTCAAGAGACTCAGTGAGTGCTGGTAACTATCGTTCGTTGGCAAAGATGGTCAACTTGCGAGCCCATGCCATCCAGGGGGCTCCTGGAAGACCCCATGTGTTTGGAGCCAGCTCGTTTCACATGACAGACAACTACAGAGTAGACAGTCGCGGCACGTCCACAATGGCGCTTCTTTACGACTACCCAAAGAAAGGTGATCACCGAGTTGCGCTCATAGAATGGGCGCAGAACGCACAGGTTTCAGGCAAAAGACGGGAGATTGAGAAACTGGCACTTCTATTGAATGTTCCCAAGCCAGACGAGATGTCTATGCTTGATTCCTATGGAATATTAGACGACCTACAACGAACCAACCGGCTTGGTTTTGTCCTAAAACCGCCCATCAATATCCGAACTAATCTTCCTCAACCATTGCCACCAGGAGCCATCTCGGAACGACGAATGCCCATCAACTTGAGACAGCTCATCAAAACCCGGGATGGTCTGGACCTAGGCGTGAGGTTCGACATTGCCAAGAAGCTTGTTGATACTGTCCACATGATGCATGCCGTAGACTGGGCGCACAAGTATGTTGCCCCATCACACTTCAAGCCTGACACGGCTAATCGTTTACATAGGAACATCCGACCCAACAACATTTTGTTCTTCCCTCTGGGCAGTATTGGCGACGAATCCTCGACCCAAGCCGCCCACAGAGTCTTTGACCTTTCGAGTCCTTTCATCGCTGGTTATAGCAACGGCGCAGCTTCTGGTATCAACATGAAACTCGACTACTACGAGCATCCAGCAAGACGCAACGACCCTCAGATAGCCTATCGACGCCTCTATGATCTCTATAGTCTGGGCTGTGTCTTGCTTGAATTGGCGCTCTGGACAACGATAGACAAGCAAATTGAGCACGATCCCGGGAGCAGAGAAGCGTCCTACAAGGTCATCCGAGCGCTTTCCCTTAAACCTACGTTGGATAGGTGAGTGTCAAGCCATCTACCCCAAGATAATGAGCAGTGAGCTGACAATTTTCGTGCAGGATGGTGGGCAAGATCTTTGCAGACGTCATCCGCGTCTGTATCGCCCTGGGTGAGAAGAGTTCACTCGACAACCCTGCAAAGTTCGGCACGGATATCGCATCCAGGTTGGCTCAGTGTGTTGCTTGAGGTCTTTATACTTTGATCAGGCGTGGCCTTTGTTCATTCTCCAGGATAATACCTACATCTCAAGTCACCGCTTCCACAATTCTTCCCTCGGGACACCCTAGTAACTCAAAAAGCCTACGTATTACCTTTCAACGCCTATCGGCTATCCTTGGAGACCACGTACCTCAAGCAATCACAAGTTCGAGGGGAATGATGTGAAAGTTTGACTTGCTTACCATCCCTCCCCCTCCCCCCACACCCCAAACCAGACTTAATATCGCCAGCGTCGTTACAAATTTGGAAAGAGAAGCCATGGCCTTTCCAACTCTGTTGGCGAGTAGTTTATAATCCATACCCATCTCAGCTCATCTGACTGAAGTGACAATCAACGTTCCCGAAAAGAGCGCCAGATGGCAAACCAGGTAACTCGCCGGAATTAAGCAAGAGGTCCCCCAACCAGTGAACCCACCCCGTTCCTTCCTCGAGTCTGCCCCCTGTCTCGGTTACCAGTTGTCAGATTTCAAGAGCGCTCCTACCTCACCTGGGCGGTCGTAATGCCTCAACTCGACGGGCACCTCAGTCATCTCCGTCACTTCTTCCATTCCCAACCCAACCCCCTTCCCCAGATAACCATCCCTCCTCCTCCACAACCTCCCCATCCGCAACCCTCCAAACCCCTACGTCACCACTTCTCACCCACCCTCACCTATAAACCTCTTCCTCCTCTCCCATCACCCAGCTGGGTGATATACTTGAAGCTTTGACCAAGCCATGCAGCGTGGTATCACACTTCTTCCAGCAAGAGCTCGTGGCCTATCGATCAATATGGTGGTGCTTCACTGCCGTATTCTCATCCCTGGTCTGGTCTTCGGACTGGGAATGAGAATGCTATCTCTCTTTTCACCTTGCTCAGCGCTTTGTGGTGACGAGGGGATAGGAGTCAACCTTGATGGATGGTCAAATTCCATCCTGGCTTGATACAACGTCTGGGTGTGGGACTACGTCTGTTCATAGAGCTAGATGCTTCTGAACACGTATGGCTTGAACAGACACGGATCAGAAATAACAATACTGCATGATATCATGATAACCAATTCTTTTTTAGACCACAACCAACGAAAAAACAACCATTTGCTTTTCCGCGCCCGCGCTGCCTACTGTCTCTTTTGTCTGCCTCACCTTTTTGCCCACCCCAATCTTGCTCTAATCATAACAACGCTTGCATGTACATTTCGAATTCTTAAAAATCTTGATTTCACCGCCCCATATCCTCCTCTCTTCAACCACATCTATTTCTCCTTGATCTCCCAATCAACCCTTAAAGCTGATCATCCGGTGCCGCAACCTGAGCCTCGCCCTTCTCATTTGGTTCCCTGTAGTAAGGGAGGTACTGGCTCAGAGTCTTGGGACCGAAATGTCTGACGAGCGCATCCATCACAGTGATAGCAGCCATGGCCTCAACAATGGGAATAGCACGGGGCACGACGCAGGGGTCGTGTCTCCCCTTGGCGGCCAAAACACCCTCTGACTCGCCGTCGTAGGTTGCAGTGAGCTGGTCCTGGCCAATGGTGGCAGGGGGCTTGAAGCCGACCTTGAAGTAAATAGGAGCACCGTTGGTGATGCCACCCTGGATGCCACCAGAGAAGTTGGTCTTGGTGGTGAGCTTGGGACGGGTGAATCCCTTGAGGTAGGCGCCGCTCTTGGCGACTGATGGTGGGACCTCTCTGCCCTTGGTAGAGACGAAGGGGTCGTTGTGGATGGAGCCCGGGGTGGTGCAGGCTGTGAGGCCGGATCCGATCTCGAAGCTCTTGGTGGCGGGAATGCTGAGCATAGCGTGGGCGAGCATGGCCTCGAGCTTGTCGAAGGCAGGCTCGCCGAGACCGACGGGGACGTTGCGGACGACGCAGGTGACGGTGCCGCCGATGCTGTCGTTGCGGTCCTTGAATTCGGTGATCAACTGGACCATCTTGTCGGAGATGGCCTGGTCGGGGCAGCGGACGGGGAGGAACTTGTCGACGGTCTCGCGGGAGATGTTGTCGAGGAACTCGTGGAACTTGGGGTCGGTGACGGGGGTTGGGTGCTCGGGGGTAGGGGGAAAGAGGTCGATGCCGCCGATGGAGCTGGTGAACGCGACGATCTCGATGCCGAAGGCGTCCATCATGTACTTCTCGGCAACAGCGCCGGCAGCGACACGGGCGATGGTCTCGCGGGCACTGCTTCTGCCACCTCCACTTTCCGACTTGATTCCGTATTTCGCCTGGGTGGTGAAGTCGGCATGGCTGGGTCTTGGGTACATGTCCATGGTCTTGTTTCCGTAGTCTGCACACCAGTGTCAATGTCGCGCCAAACAACATGCTGAACTCGGCAGTGCCTACCCTTGGGGCGCTGATCCTCGTTCTTGACCACCATCATCATGGGGAGACCGAGGGAGAGGCCATTTTGAACACCAGACTGGATCTCAACTCTGTCCTTCTCGTCGCGGGGGGTTGTGATGGCGCTCTGGCCGGGACGGCGGCGGGTCAATTGTGGCTGGACATCGGCCTCAGTGATTCTCAGCTGAGCAGGAACATTTCCAATTGTGCATCCGACCGACTTTCCGTGGGACTCGCCCCAGCTGTGCGCAAGCCGTGTGTTAGTGGTGATGTGCTCTGGCGCATGGCAGTGAAGACACATACGTGGTGACTGTGAAGCCCTTTCCAAACGTGTTTCCGTCCATTATGTTGCGGTTTTAGTGGTGGTACAAAAATGGAGATGGGTACTCGACTGTCTAGTACCAAATCTACCCAAATTAACAAAAACCCGGCCTCTCTTCTTTGTTTCGTCTGGCCAAAGGTGTGTCGGTGAGTCAGTGGCACGATGCTGGCTAAATTTTTGGGGAGCAGCGCACACAGCACACGCCATATGGAAAAGCTCATACCCGCCAGAGCCCCTCCATGCTGTCTCCGTCATCGGCTCCCCGCATCGATTTGACTTGGGTGCTTCTTGGCTCTGTCGCAGGGATCAACGGTCCCGTGCCGGGGGGGGGGCCGAAGAGGCGCTAGCGAATCCCTGACCGTTCCTGGTTCCCGGGCCCCCGGCTGCCTTTTTTGGTACAGGCCGTTGAGGTTCTTTTTATTTATGTACCTTAACTTCGCAGACACTCCCCTCCAACATCCCCCAGGCCCATCCAATGGCCACACCTGCCCTCCGAAATGCCTGGCGCATACGCTCCATATTATCAACGAGGCACGCTCGGCCAATAACCACCAAAGCAATCTCCCAAAAGTTCCAAATCTACACCTCCAGCTCAGCCAACCCATACCTCAACCTCTCCATCGAGCACCACCTCCTCGAAAAGTCCGACCCCGACTCGACCGTCCTCTTCCTCTACACAAACGACCCATGCGTGGTCATTGGCCGCAACCAAAACCCCTGGACCGAAGTCAACCTTCCACAACTAGCACAGACAAGAATAAAATTCGGCCAGCTCAAGCACCACCTCGTCCGCCGGCGCTCAGGAGGGGGAACCGTCGTCCATGATCACGGCAACGCGAACTGGTCCGTCATCTGCCCCAAGGATGTCTTCGATAGGGATAAGCACGCGCTCATGGTGGTGGAAGCGCTGAAGAATATGGGAATAAAGGGTGTCAAGGTCAACGAAAGACATGATATTGTTCAGGAAGCGCAAGATGCCGAAGGACCCGAGCCTGCACCGTCGACATACAAAATCTCGGGTTCAGCGTACAAATTGACGGGCAAGCGCGCGTTGCACCATGGTACATTACTTCTCAACTCTGACTTGAGCGATATCTCGGGGTTGTTGCGCAGCCCAGCAGCACCATATATCGCCGCCCAGGGCGTGGAAAGTGTCCGGAGCCCAGTCTGCAACGTGGGAGTGGAGGATAATACCGACTTCTACAAGGCCGTTATCGACCAGTTCATGACCATGTATCCGGATAGCCAGTCGGCTGAGGTGAAAGAGGTGGAACAGCAAGAGGCGCTGAACCATGACAATATTTGGAAAGGGGTTCAAGAGCTACTGGTCCGTTCTCCCCCCTACCTTCCCCTACGCCAAATACTAACATCACCATCAGTCCCCAAAATGGCTCTGGGAATCCACCCCTAAATTCCGCCTCGCCTCCCACCCAACACCCGAAGACCCCCGACCACGTCCCCACCCTCCATCAAACGTAAGCCCAACCCTTTTTTGTTCCCTCTACCACCGGTAACCTAACCCCCCTTCTAGTTCTTCCTCACTCTCACAGCCCGCCACTCAGAAATCCTCGACCTCCAAACCGACTCCCCCCTCTTCCGCTCCGAGGACCACACCGCCTCGCTCAACTTTTTGTTGAAGCAAAAAATCCACGAAGTCCCCAAGTACTGCGACCTCCGCGAGTGGAAACACTACATCAACTTCCGCATCGAGAACGGCAAGTCGCTGACCCTCCGCAACGAGAGCGTGGGGAGCATATGCAAGTGGTTGTTGGGGGACGATATGTTGGCGACGGGACCGATAAGGGGGATCAACAAGAGTTTAAAGACGAAGCTCAAGGAGCTGAAGCATTGCAGGGATGGGGGCAAGCCTTTGGTCTTGGACCATGCTGCGTTTATGTTTGGCAAGCCCGAGTACGGATGGTATGTGGTAGATAAGCAATAACATCAGAAAAAAAAACATCCGATCCCAAAAAAACAACATGATCATTATCATACCCTCCCCATCTACTCTCCCCCAGCCCCCATCACCCCCCTTCCAAACCATTCCGCCACCGTCTTGAACCGATCCTCACTCCCCTCCAAATCAGCCCTAAACAACTCATGCCTCTCACTATTCTCTTCCTGGCTCTTCTTCAACGCCCTGATCGTCGCATTATCCACCACGCAGATCGGACACTCCCCCACATTATCATCCCCCTCCCCTCCCCCCGTAACCCGCAAACATCTCCTGTGAAAACTATGCTTGCACAAAAAGTGCACCACCGGCAGCTCCAACCCCCCACCGCACTGCCCACACCTCGTAGCCTGAAACACGGCCGGCTTCCCGCCCAGATCAGCAATCTCCTGCCTCCTCGCCATCGTCTCCGTCCTGAACTGGCTGACCACCCGTTTATTTTCTTGAATGTCCAACCGCTCAGCCTCTATCCTCTTGGCCAGGTAGGGCTTGATCATCCCCATGCTCGCGACACTGTTCTTCGACAGTGTCTGCACCACCTGCAGCGGGGCCATCAAACCCCCCTTATCAATCCTATCCAGCACAGCCGCCAGCTCATCCGGCCCTGCTTCGTCAAGAATCTTCGCGTCAGACGTCAGATACGACAACGCCGCGGGATAGAGTTGCGGTTCTTCCGGCCCGTATTTAGCCAGCGCCTTGATCGCCCCCTTGGTGTCCTTTGCTGATGTATAAGAGCGAAAAATGTCAAACAGCAGACCCGACTGCTCCTTCACCAGCGTGGTTCCATCCCTAAAGTTGGAAAGGTGAGAGAGCAAAAGGACGTTGGAGTTTTCAATCTGGGGTTTCTCTTGCGTTGCTGGTAGGGATTTGTCGGCTTCGATCAGGGACTTGGCCTTGGCCTCCCACTTCTCGCGGTGGGCGTCGGATTTCTTTTCGTTGGATTTGTGGAGGTACATCTCAAACAGGGTGGTGTAAATGTCCGTCTTGTCTTCTTTTGACAGGGCGTCATCTTGGAGGCAGGCTTCGAGAAAGACGATGAACTCGTCTGGGTGGTCGATAAAGGATGAAAAGGCCGTTCGTGGTTTGGGAGGGGTGTACTTGATGGCGATGGCCTCTTGCTTGAGGGACATGTCGCCCACTGTTGGCTTTGCATTGGCATTGTTATTGCTTGCTAGCACCGCCGTGTTCATGTACGGCAGTGGTAGCAAACTGCTGAGGTTGGAAACGGCATTGGCCGCTCCCGCTGCAAACCCTCCGTTTGTCGTTACAGGGGCGGCCTCGGCTGTGATGGGGGCATCCACTCGTGGCTTATACTTGCCGGTGTGATAGTCGATGAAGAGCTGCGTAGCATCCGATGGGCAGTGTTCGATCAGAACACGGGCATACTTCATCAGACAGGGGTGTGCTGTCTCTGGATCCAGATGCCAGATGAAATCCAGCGCCTCATTGTAGGCATGAGAATCCTCGATGAGGATATCCACCACGAGATCATGCTCCCCGTGCTTCTTGGCAAGATATGCTGCTTGCTCGTAGTAGCCACCCTGCCGGCACATCGAGATAGCTGTATCAAGGTCAAACTTGAGATCCCCTTCAGACTTGATGAACTTTTCCAGCTTGTCAATATCCTTCAGCTTGGCGTAACAGTTCAGCAACAGAGTTGTGTGATCTGATGTCGCCCTGTGATGCTCATGCAACTCCTCCAGATACTCGATCAAGTTGTGTATCCTCTGCGTGTCGAGGAACTTTCTGATGACCTGTGATGGCTCTGTGCTGTCTACGGCCTTGATGTACTGCGTCATGGCCTCGTCGTAATTGCCCTTTTGGTAAAGGTAATCCCCATATTTCCGGTAAATGATATTCTGTTGCTGAGCGTCCATCCCACACTTTTGAGCAAGGTCCAAGGCAAGGGTATAGAGATTGCGCTGATAGAGCATGTCCAACCGTTGCTGCAGTGTCTTTTCATGATACCGGAAGATCTGTTCATCGTCACATTAGCCATCATCCTCTCTTACTTCCCAAGAGCAACAAACCTTTCCATCCAGCGTCAGCATATACAAATCCGCCCACAACGCAAAAATATGCTTCACATCCGCCAACACCGTCTCACTGTGCGCAATAATCCTCAGCTCCGGATGTATCAACGTAAAAGTATAAATACTATCCGCCGCACCTCCCCAAAACCTCCTCCTCGTCGTATCCGCCTCCCCCGCCGGCGTCGGCGGCGACACCACCGCAACATAATCCCCATACACGGCAACCAGCTTCTTCGCCCCCTCATACGCCGTCGGCGGCCCCCTCCCCTCCAGCGTGTAATAATACACGGCATCCTCCCTCGCCACCACAATCTCCCCCGTCCTCCTATCAACAACCATACAACCCACCCCACACCCCTCATCCTCCACCGTTTTAGGGGGTTGCCCATGCCCCTTCCCACTGATCACCACTTTCAACACCCTCGCCGTCGTAGCCACAAACAGCGTCGTCAACCCCACCCCACCATCAACATGCATCTCCACCCCCGTAATCGGCTCATCACTCTCATAAATCACCCTCTGCTTCGTCCCCAAATCATGAACCAAATCCCCCCTCACCACCACCACCGCCCCATTCGCAAACCCAACCGCCAACTGCGTCAGATCATCCGTCGCCGTAAACGCCGAAATGGGAAAAGGCCTCTTTCCGTTATTCACGACAACACTACTCAGCAACCCGGGGTTCCCATCCTTTTTATTAACCTTATCCAAACTCCAGACCCTCACCACCGGCTGCCCCGGCTCCAGATCTTCCCACGCCCCCCTCCCCAATCGTAACCAGCAAACTCGTCCCTTCCACCTGCCGCATGTGCGTGACCGAGGAGCCATTGTCGTAGGCGGTGAACTCCCTCAAGATCTTGAAGTTGGGCCCGATGATCCGCACCGTGCCGTCGAAGCCGCCTAGGAACAAGGATTCCGACCCGGAGCAGACAGAGGCGATGGACTGGGAGAAGTGGGAAGGGTTGTCGAAGAAGGAGCGGGAGGTCGGGTCCGAGGGGGTGATGGGGGTCGACTCGAAGAAGTCAAAGGAGCGCCACTAATTGACAGACAGACATCGTGTTAGTCGTCGCTGGGACAGATGTAAGAGTGTAAGAGAGCATGGGAAAGGGAACGACAAACCGTTAGCGCCATGGTGGCATCTTTCAGCTTTTGCGCTGCTGTATGAGGTCAACTTGGAGCGGTGAAGAGAAAAAAGGAAGGGCGCAAAGTAGAGAATATGCCTACGAATGCGCTCCAGTTGTTGATGTGCGGCCTGGAGAGCTTGTGACGCCTGTTTAGGGACCTCGTTGGGGTTGGAGCTCGAAGCTCCCCACACATGGCCTTGGCAATTGATTAGATAACCATTATCTCAAAGTAACCCTAACCCAGTAAGGCAGCTCAGTAACAAGCCAACCCCAGGAAGCTACCAAAAATGAAAGATCCTCGATGGAGGCCCGCAAAAGAGTTGGAAAAAAAATGCAAAAGAGTTAGCTGCGACTCGTTTCGATCGAGTGACCTCCGGGTTATGAGCCCGGCGCGCTTCCGCTGCGCCACGCAGCTTGTTGAGCTGTTGTTGAATATCAGGGTCCGAAACGGCCTCTACAAAGGTGGGTTGCTCCAAGTGTGACTCATTCCGTCTTATCCCATTTTGCCAAAAGAATCACCACACCCTTACTATTGTGCTACTACACAGTTACGCTCTCAGGTCTGATTCGCCCTTCCCACACTGTCCTTCCACTTCCGGATATCACACAACAGCCGTTTCTTCCCATTCTTTTCCCCGGCCATGCCGAAAGACCCGACACTGCTGCTCGGCCCGAGATGCACCAGAGGCACCATCGACGGCCTGCCGTGGGCACATTGGAACGGGAAGGCGCATGTAGCCAGATTCTGCACAAGCTGAAAGCATTGCTCCTTGGTCAGGACGTCATTGAACATGATACTGCCTGAAAGTACCGGTTAGCTTCAGCCTTTGTCACTAGTAGCCTACCAAGGCGAACTTACTTCGGCAAGCCCTGGAGTGGATCAACTCAATGATTCCCTCTGGACAGTTGTGGAACCTGGAGAACCACTGATGATCGGCCTCGTCACCGATCGGGAGCCGTGGCACGATGCCAGCCTGTTTGCTGGGGTTTTCATGCAGCTTCCAGATCTCATTCCGGAGCAGTTCAACAAGAAGCCTGGGTTCAAGACGGCACCGTTCCACTATACTGGGCGGCAAGGCCTGAACCTCCACCGTGACCCTCGATGCCTGGTCTTGGGTTGTCAGGTCGTAGATAACACCCCAATAAGCAAAATGCCGTTTGAACCTCACAAGCAGCTCTCCTTCTTGCCTAGACAAGTCAAAGAACAACTTCTTGTCCAAATGCGTTCTGGCCGCCACCAAGCTCCTGCCGTCATCTGGGTTCGGCACGAAGTACTCTTTCAGCAGAGCTTCAACCCGGTAACGCTCGTCAGCGGCATGTTGGTCTATGATCACCAGCAGCGGAGAATCGACGAGATCTCTCCTGTGGACTGTTCCAGCCTGGTTGAAGACTTTCACCAACACAAACTTTTCATCCACTTGATTCACCACTTCGGCTTTTCGTAGCGTGTCTTTGGATATTCTCCCTTCCAGAGCAGTCGAAACACTGTTATTGCTGTTCTCGAGGGTAATTACCCCAAGCCCATGGCAGCCATGTTCACCTCCTTCGCAGCCAAGCGTGTCTGATTCCTGGGATAGCCTAGGGATGGGCAGTTCCGTTGGCAGGAAAAAGGACCGGCCCCGGGTGTTTGTGCTAGGTTTCCAGTCCCTGAGCGCTGTTGAGCTTCTTCTCCGATCAAGGCTCGGCCTTTTATTGGAACCCTGTTTGGGCCTCATCGCAAAACCAGTCCGTGGATCAATCATCGACTTGATTTTGGTAACAGGGTCAATCCAGATCATTGGCTCAGCAGATGTATCTGCGACTGGATCATGCGGCTTTTCAACTGTCTCTGAACCATCCGAGATGGCATTGGAACAGCCGGCTAGAGACGTGCCACTCGAGGTGCGACCCATAGGCAATGAAACTGCTCTCTTGAGTTCAGTTTGTGGCTGGACGACATGCTTGGTTTTGGGCCATGATGAAAATGGTGATGCAGAGCGTGTCTCGGTGTCCCGTGTGGTCGACTTCCTTGAAGCCTTTGTGCGAACACTTAGTCTGGAAGCAGACCTGGCTACCGGCAGCTGCGAAGCTGATTTTCGGTTCGTCTCGAAAGCAAAATCAGAACCAGAGACCGTTCCAGTTTTGAGCTGCTTAATGGCGTGAACAGACCTTGGTCGAAACATGTGCTTCTTCAAGAACTCATATGCCATCACTTGAAGCAGGTCAACAATGATGGAGAGATTCGGCCGCCTTTCATCTAGAAAGTCATCCGCATCCACGGAACCCAACCCGTGCTCTAATATGATCTGGAGAAAGAACATGGGCCATCGGTCCACGCCTTTTCTTGGCTTCAGCTCTTTGCGGGTGAAGCCAGCCATCTTCTGTGGATAACCGTCGTCATCAACGCCAGCTTCTTCGATGGTACCGAAGCTGGAGTTGGCAAACACGTTGTTGACTTCATCGTAGAGGAAGTTTGAGTGACCTTCGTTGAGGGATGGCTGGATGCCGAGAGCGATGAACTGCACTCTCTTCGTAGCTGCCGGTTCCAGTGACACGCAGCCTCTTACGGTAATGCCTGGAGCAGTGGCACCAATCGAGACCCACGACTTCGGATTCTCTTGGTCCAACAAGGACGCTGCAAGAAGAAGCTTGGGTGTTCGCAAAAGAACATCCCGAGCTGACAGTAAATGGTGTTTCTCGATATCAGCAAGTGGAGATGTCTGGAGAGACACTGTTCTTCGAGCAATCGAATCCTGGAGATTTACAGCCACCTCTCCTGGCCAAGCAAGCAGAAGAGCAACGGCTTCGTGGATCAGCTGGTCGAAATACCCACTTGTGCCCAATCGCTCCATTTCTGTAGCTCTCTGCTTGACGCGGACAGGCAGGTAGCCGAAAAGATCACGGACGGCAACACGAGTCCCGCTGGAAAAGCCCAATATGCGCTGCTCAGGCAGGGCTGGAACATTCCGTGTCACCACGTTGGACTTGTGTATAGTAAGCGAGTTGTGTGACCGGTAATCACGGTGATGTGACGTGACGGTCAACAAAGAGAGAGAGCCTAGAGATGCCAGGAACTCGCCATGTTTGCCGTGACAGTCTGCGGACGGCGGGTATTTTGAGGTATCTAGAGCAACGATGTTAGTTGGGCCGAACAACAAAACATTGCTTGAGCGGTGGATGACGTACAGTGCAGTTGGCCTAGTCCCCCACCCTCCCGAAAATTGGATGGAGGAATGCCAACACCGTTGTCTTCGACAGAGCAGCTTCCACGCCCATAGTCAACTGAGATGTTGATCTTCGTAGATCTGGCATCCAAAGAATTTCGAAGCAGACCACAGACGGCAGTGTTCAACGAGGTAATGATAGTGGATGATTTGATTTGAGCAACAACGTCCCTGGGCAGTTGCTGTATCGACATGGCGGTTGTGAGCCCGACATCTCGCTACCCAGCCAGTGAGTTGTCCTGCATCCAACCTTGATCAGATGCAACACAACAGCAGAAGACTGTCCAAAAAGGGAGTCGTAAAATGGGAAAGTGAAGGTGTGGATGGACTCCCACGTGATCACTGTGTTGTGCCAAGAGCGTTGGGGATGGGCCCCACACCATCTTGTGTCGGCACCTGGGGCCCGGCTTCGTCACTGAACCCCCTGTGGAGCGTGGAGCGTGCGGAACGACAACCGAAAGCTTGGGATGTTTCCGCTTGAGCTTCTGCTGGAGAACAACGACCCTTCTTGGCTTCTGCCATTGTTCAATACCGACATCATCGCCCTCTTCCCGCCACCTTCCAAGCCATCCATTTCACCCGTCTCACTTACGCGCCACCTGCGAAACCACTCAGTTATCGTCTTGGGTGATCCGACAACGCCACGGCCTGTGCGACCTCTCCGCGCGGCTTTCCAAACAATTCATGAACCGCCCCATTGACAGCAACAAAAAGTAAACCTGCTCGACTCCTCGCTTTATCTTTTCCCATCCACAACGGCTGCACTCGACCAACATATCATCTGCTTCCTTTACTACCTGACGTGTACCAGATTCCAACACCCCTCCGGCAACCGCGACCAGAATCTTGACCTGCTATCCCCGATAACGACCACCTACGTGCATCCAACCTACCTGGTCCTCTCTTTGCGCAAGGCCGAGACCTTTTCCCCGCTTCTAGCGTCCCAGATACTGCGATGACGGAGACTGCGACTGCTTCTCATGGTGATTCAGACCTTCTCTTGTTTCGCTCGTTCTAGCGATAAGCAAAAGCTGACATGATGTTGGGTCGCTCAGGTCGATCAGGTGGACGACGGCCGTTCTCCACGTTGATGAAGAAACTGGCCAACCTGAAATCTTCCTCCAATGGTGAGGGTCACCGACACACAAAAGACAGCGCAAAGCTGCGCCCATCCAAGAACAACAACCCATACCCCGAGTCCGGTCGCCTTCCGCCTGCTACCACGAATAGAGAGAGCCAGTACACAGAATCCACGGATCCTAGCAGAAGATCATTCAGCATTGTGTCGGGCGATCAAAATGCTTCAGTCAGAATATCCGACGAGGGGCAACCACCACCCACAGTGGGAGCTCGCTCCATGGCGCCAACCGTATCGACCGAGCACGACACATCACGATCAATGACGGCGACGTCGCGCGGAGTACCATCAATTACCAACACAACCTACACCGTGAACGGCCGGCGAGGCGGCGATAGCACCTTCTCATCCCCGGCGCCTTCCGTCAGGTCCTTAACCACAACCCTTACAACAATCCAAACCGCGGCGCCAAACACGGCTGGCGGTGGCGCCCAAAACACAACCTCAGCCAGCAACGGCAACCAATCCAACTCGCACATCATTCACTTCAACCAGCCCTTTCCGACCGCCTCCCCCGCCTCCGCTATCCCCGCCCACCTCGCAACCGCCGGCGCCAATTCCACCACGGGCCACCCGACAACCTATCACACCGCCACAGCTAACAACCTCCTCACCGACAACGCTTCCATCCTCACACTTGCCTCCTCCTCCAAGCGCGGCCGCCGCCGTTCATTCGACACAGACGCCTCGGTGCGGGCGCTGGCTCCTTCGTCTCTGTGGGGAGGAAGCAGGGAATCCCTGCCATTGAGCGTGCTAAGCGCCAACTTGGAAAATCCCGGCATCCCCACCACCCCGGGGCTCCACAGGACGGGGACCGGTGGGGTCGGAGGTGAGCGGGCGAGCATCTACAGTGCCACGACGGGGAATTTCGGGGTGAGCAGTGAGAGGAATAGCTTTTATGCGAAGCAGGGCCTTGGGAGTGTGGTTGGTGGTGATAGGGATACTGCCAGTGTGAGGAGCGGGCTGTTGGGACATGGGAGGGCGGAGAGTATCAATGGGAGTATTGGGTTTGGGAGGGGGGATAGTGCTGTGGCCGCGGCACCGAGTCCGTTGACGAGTGCGAGGGAGGTGCAGGGGTATGTTGAGGAGGAGGGGGGGAGTGGGAGTGCTGGGGCTGGGACTACCAAGGAGTAAAGGGGTCATAACATGAAAGGGGGATGGGACAGCGGCTTGTGTTTCTTTGGGGGCAAGGGAGGTAGTCTGGAGTTTTTCGTTTCACGCGTTGCATTGTGTCTCGTTTCATGGCAACGAACAACAGGATAGGAAAGTGGGCGGTAATGGTGTTTTCCTTGGGTTTTTCTTTGTCGTCTCTCGGTTTGTGTTCTCTCTCAGTTTCAGTTTCAGTATTGATATCCATTCCTGTTTTTGTTTCTTTCATGACTTTTTATTAAAACAGACAAATAGCAAGGATTGCGCAAGCATTTTTTTTCTACTCGAGGGGGTTGACTTGTTTGTTTGTTACTTCATTTCTCGAGTTTATACAAAGATAAAAACCCATGATACCCCAGCTCTGTCAAAAAATACAATTACACAAAAACCTATTGATTTCATGAATTTGGCCCAGGGGCTGTTTGTTATATATGGTGCCAAAAGTTGGTTAGTTAGTTCAATAGGGCAAAGGACTCAAATCCAAGCCCCTGACCCCAAACTCGAACGAATCATTCCTCGAGTAACTCCCCGCCGTGTCCAGGTCCAGGCGTCCCCTGATGCAATCCTCAAAGTCGACGTCGGTGCAGATGAGGCCGGTGTTATCCTCCCATTGGGGACCGGAGAGGACCTCTCCAAAGGGGGAGATTATGCTTGATCCACCCCTGGAGACCCATTCCCCTCTGCTGGAGTTTGTCAGTTTGGGAGCGGGAGGGACCATAGGCTGGGTTTGGGAGTTGGTAACATGGGAGGGCTTTTTGCAGCAGAGCACAATCTCGTTGCCGTCTTTGTCGAAGACTGAGGTTCTGCGCTTGGAGGAGGGGGAGAGGGTGTTTACTGTTGAGGTGGTTGTGCGGGTGGGGGAGGGGGTGGCGCGGCGTGTGGTTGTGGTGGTGGTGGGAGTGGCGGGGGATTTTGAACGAGGGAGGGCGATTTCAAAGCCTTCTTCTGTTAGGCATGAGGCCCGGCGGTTGCTGTGGTGTTTGGGTGCGAAGGGGGAGGGGTGGTGGTCGAAGAAGATGGGGGTGTGGTCGTCGTGGGGGTTTTCGTGGTCGGGTTCTTCGGTTAGGATGGCGGAGGAGGAGTCTGGGTGGCTGTTGGGAATTTGTTGAGGGATGGAAGGAGGGGGGACGGCCATGTTGGAGGAGATAACGAAACAGCGGCCTTCGATGGCTACTGTCCTCATCAGGGATAGCCAGGTGTCTCTCCCGTCAGCGGTGGGGGCGAGGTAGAGGTTGATGTTTTGGCTGTAGAGGGATTGTCGAACCAAAGGCATGTAGTTCTCCCAGCAGATGGCTGCGCCGAGGTTGATGCGGACGCCGCGGATGATGGTGCTTACTGCGCGGAGGGTGGCTGGGGAGCCTTGAGCCCATACCAGGCGTTCGGTGCCGGTCTGTCTGGGGCGTTAGTATTGGAAAGGAAAAGGGGGTCAAAAAGGGGTAACTAACAGGCATGACCTTTCTGCGCTTGCCGATGATTCCTTGCTTTGGGCAAACATATACAACCGAGCAATACATGGAACCTCCGGTCTTTTCTATCAGGCCAGTGACAATGAATACTCCGGTTTCACGAGCAATTCTCTCGAGTTGTTCCCTGGTGCCATCACCCCGTTTGTTCGCAGCAGGCTCCTTGCTGTTCTCGTTCGACCCGGGGACAGCATCTCCCGGCAAGGCACGTTTGATCCATGCTTCCCCAGCACCGGCTCCATCACCAACGGTATCACCCAAGTCAATGGCGTTTTGGAAGTATCGGAGATATTCTTCTCTGCCCTCGGCTGTGCGCGAGCCAATGACACTGCCAAAGTGCGTTCCGCGAGGGTATCCTCCGATGTAAGCTTCCGGGAGCAGGAGAATGTCAATCTTTTTCGATGCGGCACGACGGGCGATCTGTTCCAGCTGAGCAATGGTTTCGGGAGTGCTAGCTTGTGTGCTGGGAGAAGCTGTGCCGAGGCGAATGGTAGCGGGCGACATGGTGGTAGAGTGGTTGACGATATGTGAACTGTATAATGGACACAAGGTGGGAGAGTCAAAATATTACAACAGCTTGCGGCTGTTCTGTTATATTTTCGAATTGAGGTCAAGTCACGGAACTGATGGAATATCGGTACAATGCACCATGTACCCCGCCTGGAGCTCTCCATGTGACCACTGCATGAAACCAAAACCGTCACCGTTTGTGGGGGACGCCGGGAGGTTGGAAATACGAGGCGCATAGAGGTCGAGAATCACTGCGCGGGTGACGTAACAAAGAACCCCCCACGGTCCACGAGGCCCGCTCGCCTAGAATTGGAGAAACTCCATCGAAGCCCTTGTGGAAGGCAGATGGAAAGCGTTTTGACATACAACAGCCATCACATTGGCTGAAATCATCTAGAAGCGTGAAGTAGGAGATCGAGATGAGGAAGCGCTCGTGACCAGACATTGATGTCTTTGAAGGTGTTGATAACACGACTATCTTGTCTGGATAACATTTTGAGACGCCAGATGGAAGCTCACGGTGGCCAATCGGCAGCTGATGGTGGGCCGAGCAATCCAGGAACTGCCGAACCGGGAAGGAGCTCACGGCTGTCATCGGGCGTGGGCCTATGGCGGGGATATACTGATTGAAGTCCACGAAGTCTAGAATCAACAATTGACTGTTGCTAGGGTAAAGGAAAATGCCAAACTTGAGGACAATACTATATAGCGATGAGAGCACATCCGAGCAACAGCTCTGATCCATCATCCCAGTGCCGAAAGAAACCCTTACCCACCGGGTAGCTTAGCCGGTTCGGGTAGGCTTGAAGCTTAGTCAGCTATGGCACACATAACCCAGACCCCACTCTTTGACAGGAGAAATTCGTGGCATTTTGAGTGGATGGGGGCTAGCGCCGTTTATCCGTCAACCCGATCATAACGACGCGTCGGCGCGCTCCGACAGCTGCGAGAGTCTCGCCGCCAACAGCGACGACGACAATGGCCGATCAGCACCAACATACCCAGCAGCAGTTTGCTCCACCCACCTATGCCTCGCTCGAGGTGCCCTTTGCGCCCCCTGTCCACCGCAATGCCCTGCCAGAAACACGCATTGCCGAGCCTGGTCCGAAGAAGAAGGGCAAGCGAAAGTCCAACGCTGCCGAAGGAGATGCCAATGGGACGACAGACTCTCCCAAGGAAAAGAAGCAGCGCATCTCCCGCTCCTGTGATCAATGCCATGGCAAGCGTATGAAATGCAGTGGCTTCAAGCCATGCAACAACTGCACCAAGCGCGACAGGGCGTGTACCTATGACAGACCCTATATCAGGGGCATTGCAAAGACACCACCCCCTCCTCCCGCTGATGGCCAAGCCCGTAACCTCGCCCAGCCAGTTGACGAGTTTGGGAGGGAAGTCCGTGACAGAAGCTGGGCTCTACGTGCCTGTGATCTCTGTCGAACTCAAAAGGTGTCTTGTTCGGGCAAGCTACCATGCGAGAACTGCTTCAATAGCCGTGTTGCATGCACCTTCAAGCTACGTGCAAAACAACGAGACTCGATGCCACCGGGCGAGGGCGGTGAGGAAGTCGAAGGCGAGGGTGAGGCCTCAGAAGCAGAGGCTGATGAAACAGAGCTGCAGGAGAACGACTCTACTGAATATGGAGGTACATTCGCAGTCAGGCGCATTCCACTTCAGGATCACGAGAACTACATGCTCACAAATCGATATGCGGATCCCGAAACACCACCCCTGGCTTTTCTTCACAAAGCCTGGGAGAGGATGGCCCGCTACCAGAAAATACCCACCAGCTACGGACAAGAATATGGTGTTCCTGGCGACCTCGTCATGCCGCCTAGTGACCAGCCTTTCGACACTACGTTGCCGCTGGCTTTTCCTGAGAGTCCGACCAAATGGTTCGAGATGCTCAACGCTTTTCAGAACGGCTGGACCGAGACCTTTCACTTTCTACACCGGCCCACCGTCAAGTCCTGGTTGGAAAGGGTATGGAAGAACTGGACTGCAAACTCACCCCTGGAGAAGGAGCTCGGCCCGGCAAAAGCCACCATTGCGCTCATGTGCATGTCTATTGGCACAATGTTTTACGACCGACCATGGCGAGAAGCCGTTAGACAAAAGATGTGGGATCGTCTCTGGACGCTCAACATGGGAGACCAACTGTTCCTGGCAACCATTCGTCTCACAGACTCCGAGCCGGGCCCACCAAAGCTGGAATCCATCCAAGCTCGTCTCCTCCAAGTCCTGTATCTCCTTTGCACATGTCGACTGAGCCAAGCTTGGTATATCTTTGGCAATGCCGTCCACATGCTGACTCAGCTCGGCCTCCATCGCAGACGAGGCCGAAATCGAGGCCTGGGTCGGGATATGACAGTCAACCCAGATTACGCAAAGATCCAGTGCGAGAGGCGCACGTTTTGGACCGCCTACATCATTGACAAGGAGATTTCGTTGATGTCTGGAAGGCCCTGCCATTTTTCCAATGAAGCAGTTGACCAGGAGTTCCCGGATCCTGTCAACGACGAAGATATGGGTCCCGAAGGCCCTTTCCGGCCACACCTGGGCGACTGCTACTTGGAGGCTGGCACTGAGCAGGCCAAGTTGAACCAGATCATCGATAAGATTATGCGAGACGTGTACACGTTTCGCGAGATACCCGATGACTGGAGGTTGGAGAGCGCTACACGACTAGGGAACGAGTTGGAACAGTGGAAAGAGCAGCTACCCTTCATGATGTGCCATCTCAAGCCTTCCATGTTGCACACCATTTTCCGTCGACAGTCCACTCTCTTGACCCTGGCTCATTGCCACGCCGCCATTCTCGTCTATCGTCCGTTCATGACAGCACCATACTCGGCCGATGCCGAAAAGAAACAGGCTGCCGATTCTGCTGTGCGCAAACTGCTTGACGCCGCTCGTATAGCTTTGAATATGTGCCTCGCATTGGCTAGAGATCAGGAGAAGAGGGACAAGAGCCACTTCCAGTCCATTTTCTTCGCGCACCACGTCTGCTTCTGCGCAGCCGCCGTTATTTTCCTTCTCCCGCACATCCGAACTCGGCAAGCCATGTACGGAGGCACTCACTTTAGGGGATACGGCAAGATGGACTCCTTACTCACCGAGACCGCAGAAAAGGCCATTGGCGCGCTCTTGAAACAAACAAATCGCTATTCGCCCTCGCGTAGATGGGCCATCATCTTGGAAGAGCTTCGAGATGAGGCGGCTCGCCAAGTGACTGGGGCTGGACGAACGCCGGCGGAACAGAGTCAGGCCCAGGCTCAGGTTGCAGGGCAAGGCCAGGGGGGCAGTGATGATGCTGATGCCCAATCTCCCAATGAGCAACTCTTGGAAGATGCATTACGTGCCCACTGGGAAGCTGATTTGGCCCGTCATGTTCTCCCGAATCATCCACCTGCTGAAGTTGCTGAACCACCGCCTCCCCCATTGGTATACCGTCTGTGGGACAAATGGAAGACGACCGATTGGATTGATCTTGATTCTGCGGTAAGTTGATCAGATCTTTCCCAGGCTGTTGACTGACAAGGTTGCCAGGCGTTTGGGCCGATTTCCAATTTTGAGCCTCTACCTCCTCCTCCTCCTCCTCCTCCTCCTCCAGCACCACAGCCTGCACCTCAACCAGGACAGCAGTCAGCAAACGAACCAGCGCAACCACCACCCCAGCCAGCACCGCAACAAGGCCCCGTTCAGAACCCAGTTCAGTAATGTTTGGTAATATTGACTCGCTAGCAGCTCTTAACTCCTATAATACAGTCCCAAATACACCTATCAACCACCAGCTAGGCTTAGCTCGAGCTTTCCGACGATGGCGAGATCTCATCCATCAAGGTGTCAACTTCATCCTTCACTGCTCGGGCCCGGCTCAAGATGTCGGCCATGTTCAGCCCTTTCAGCAGCCGATCCTGGATTTCTCCGTTGCTGTGGAGATATTTTTGCAGCGAATAGGAGGGTTCGCTGGTCGTTGTTCTTCTTCGGTAATATCAGTATCGGCATTCCTTGGAAATCAGAATCAAGTCAACTTACTCATCACCGGACAGCTGAAGGCCTGGTCCCATTCTTTGCGACATTTTGAGTTTTGTTTTGGGAGGCAAATTATCTTTCTTCTCGGCTGCTTGGTGGCTGCTCAGGCGTGTGTTGGCTGGTTTGACGATTTGGAAGTCTGTGTTTCTTGAGGAAACCATCGCCTTTTATCTGTTGGACTCCATCTCGTTATTCCCATTCTCATGAGGTTATCTGGCGTTCTTGGTGATCCTTTTGGGAAGCTTGGTCGCATATTGACGTGCTCTATCCAGTATCACGCGTTTGAGCACATGGAGAACAAGTGTTCGACCCTTTAACAAGCGTCCTGAATGGCACACGACTCATCTTTACCACGACATGCTCTGCCTGACGAGGCTGTGATGTCTCTGAGTTGGCGGTTTGGCCATCACATGTTCGGTTCAGGACGCGGGTTGCTGTTCGCAATTGAGCGCGTCTGATCAAGGGACCGGTCCTATCCTTTCACCTGGTTTCTCCGAATCTTTTGTCAGCTCTCCAAGTCCCTGACTTTGGGCCCTGTGCGTCATCGCCGGATCAATTCGATGCGAGGTATCTCTTGCATTAACACCACGCTGCCGAGCCGGCCGATTGGGAATAGTGTTGGTCCCTTCCCCGCTCTCAGCCTTATCTACAGTCCCAGAAGATCCCCAAGTGACAGGAGATCTGTCGCATTTGAGCACTTGGAAGTACTTGCGCACGCATAGCCACCGCTGGGGAATGCAGATGGATAGGCATACCACTAGGCACGCGCGTGGTTTTCCCTGTTGGGCCTGTACTGCGTGTCATCGGATGTCCTGTCCAATGCTTGAACGGCCTTGGGGTGGTTCAACTCTGCCGATGCATGCGCCCCGAGTGGGAGCACGCCATTGGAGAAAGCGTGCTCTGATCTTCTCGGGAGCCGGAGGAAAGGTGTGTAATAGCAAGCCCCGAGTTCTGCTTCTTCTCCGCATTTGCGCAAACGGATCGCAGCTCATGTATATAATGCCGTCTCAGAGTCATGGTTTTTCACAATGGAGACTTGCTTCTTCCTCACGCCCAGCTGAGGTTATTTGGGTTCGACATCACATTTGAAGCATTATTGACACGCATCAGTTCATTTTGTGGTCCAGCACTCGGACTGCTACTCGGTTCAACACAATCCTTTCTTCGGCCAACTTCCCCTCACTTATAAGCCATCGTCACGACCTCATCGGGTTGTGTGACCCCCCGCCAGTATCAACACCCGCACTCAGAACAAAGCTTCAGACACAGAAACCCAGCCGAGCAGAGATTCACCACCGTTACGTATGGCCTGAATCTCATGTCACGAGATCCAGGGTCCTCAGCGTAGAACAGATTCGACCCTGTCAACTTCATGGCATCCCGCGGCTCAAGTCACCCGACACCTTCGGAGTTATTCCTCGCAAAGAAAAAGAAAGAGATTCTAGACAGATCTATGGCTCTCATCCTCAAGAAATTGGACGAATGCCTTGAAAACCCCGTTCCAACAGCACCAAGGCGCCGTGTGGCGAAGCGGGCGAGAGACGACCAGGACACTGCTGCTGTTGACGACCGCGTCGCTGCCGGCGCCACCACCACCACCACCACCGACGACGCTATCGACACGCGAAACAAGAAGAAGCTGAAGCAAGACCCGGCAGCGGGACGCCGGTTCGCCTGTCCGTTCTTTAAGCACAACGCAGCAAAGTACAAGCATGTCAAGACTTGCTGTGGCCCCGGGTGGAAGGACGTCCACCGGGTGAAGGAGCATCTATATCGTCGCCACTCGGCCAAGAACTCTTGCGCGAGGTGCTTTGAGCAGTTTGAGGATGAGGCCGCTCTCAAGGATCACCAGCGGTCTGAGGAGCCGTGCAAGCTTGAGAAGCACAATATACCTGATGTCATCACGGAGGAAAAGGACAAGCTCTTGCACGCTAGGGCCAAGGCTGGGCTTTCTGAGGAGGATAAGTGGCGGGAGATGTATCGGATTCTCTTCCCTGGCGAGAAGATTCCATCTCCCTACTATGATGACTCGGATGGGACAGGCCCGGATAACGAGAATGGAGGGTCGTCCAGAAACTGGGAGGAGTTCAAGACGTTTGCCCGGCAGGAGGTACCCAGACTGATCAAGCCTCTGTTGCAGCAGTACATCGACAAGTACTTTGAGGACTTTGCAGAGAAAATGAACCAAAAGTCGATTGAGGTCGCCAAGGTGGTGGAAAGCCAGGTCCTGCGCACCTGGATCTTTAGGGAGGAGCAGCAGCATCTGTTCCCGCCCGGAGGTGCAGCGCCGTCGTCTCCTCCGCCGTCGGTTTCCGCCCGGGCATCCAGCCCAGAGGTCGATGTGAAGCCTGCGAGTTACAATGAAGTGATGGATGAGTGGAGGGACAACCCACACAGCGGAGAGTTCTGGGCTGACATGATGAGCGGACCTCTTTCTCTGGACAATTTCTTGGCAGATGCGAGCCACATGGGCCTGGGCTGTGGGAATGATATCTTCAGCGCTGACTCGGCCTACTTTACGAATCCTGTCTCAGACAGGGAGATCACTTCCAGCTCTGGCCTTCATCAGGTTGCTGGGGCTGTTATGGGTGCTGCTGTTGGGGCTGCTCCGATGTACCCGCGGTATTTGTAGGTCATTGTCGGTCTGTTTGGCGTGTTTCACATGCTTGTCCATCTCATTGCCTCGATCATTCGTGTCTCCTATTCTTCGTCATGTCATTTGCAATGGACCGGGGGGACACTCATTATTGGGTATCATGCCGAGATTTTTCCTTTTGTTTTCTTTTACTCTGATGATCAGGAAAGTGGTATCAGTACGATAGTTGAACATCATGCAAGGCTTTTCTTGACCATCATCTCATGAACCAACCAAACAACCCAATCGCTCCATCACCTACCCCTCCATTTCAGCCCCCAACTCCCGCCACCCTCATGAACTACCCCTCCCCCGCATACTCTTTTTACACGTCCGTATCTTATCACATTCAGCAGGCTTCCCGGCCGCATCCCTCGCGGCCAGCTACCTTAGCTCTGAAGAGATATATCAAGGCATCTATTGCATCATCCTATCCGGTCCTCCCGGACATCCGGCTGGCTGAGGAGCGACAGGAAAGATGTTTATTGCATAAAAGGCATGAACGGCCAAATTAAATTGGCTTGGGGGATTGGAGTTCGCGGAGGGGGCGAAGGAGATGGCACCACGTCACCCCATCGTTCATGTCTACCACCACCACCACAACAACAGCAACAACAACGACAACCACCACGAAAGAACCTGGACACGGCAAATTAGGATATCACAAAGCTAGTGTGAGACAACAACATTAAAATTCGGTCAGTCAAGGCTGTTTAATTGGTTCAAGTTGCGAGCATCATACAAATGCCGTGACGCAGAATGCTGTGAGGAAAGGTCTCCAAAGTCCCGGAACTGAAAGTGGGGGGATGGGTACGTTACGGCAGATGCAGAGATCCTTCCTCAGATCCCTCTATACGACACCTCTGCAGATGGAACACCTTGTTTCAGCTTGCAGGCGGTGCTGACTTTGATGGCAAATGCGGGGGACAGTCTCCCCCTCATTTTGCCACCAAGAAGAGGCCAAGTTCCATCGTGGCAGTGAGCGTGATGAGATAGAGGGGAGATGAGGCTCTGCTGTCAGTTGGGAGGTGATTATACAGCTAGTAAGCTAGTAAGCGAGGAAGATGATGTTTGCGCAAAAGCGCAGAGGAGGAGCTTGCTTATCACCATTTCGCTGGCCATAACCACAGCAATCACGGGACGGACCTTCTGATCAACGAAACACTGCCCTGCGGAGGTGGGGTGGTGACACAACTTCACACAGCTCACACAACCCACTCAATCACCACTTCCCGCACCATTCCCGGTGTTATATGCGGATGGTGTAGGTAACAGGTAGCGACCACCATGAGCACTAGTTCCACCCCGAGAAAATAAGCTACGATGGGTGCCCACACTCATAAATCTTCCGTAGTATAGTGGTCAGTATGTGAGCTTGTCATCTCTCAGTTGTCAACGCTCGAGACCCGGGTTCAATTCCCGGCGGGAGAGTAAACCACACTTAGCTTTTGGTGATTTTTACGTCACACCCTTGCTGTGGGAGGGATATTGTTGTTGAGAAGTTTTGTTTTGTTTATTTGCCGGCGTAGGTGGCAAAACAAATAAAGTGTGTCGACGGCGATTCGGGGTATAAATAAGAAAAGGGGCTTTTAGGGGACATAAACGCTTCCCTCGCACTATTTTTGCTATCAAGGCAAACAGTGTTTTTTTTTTTTTCACTTTCCACTTGATGTTTCTAGCTCTTCATTGAACTGTGATTCCCTAAAGGACAAAACGTTATGCCCGCGAGTCAAGTCCATAAGTGTCAACTCCGAAAAAAAAAGGGGGGACCCCATACCACAAACCCACACCCCACGACACACCAAAAGTAAAAATATTCATTCGACGTGGGCCTGATTCGAACAGACGCTCCCGAAGGAACAAGATTTCTAGTCTTGCGCGTTAGACCACTCCGCCACCACGCCTCTTGTTTGATGAAGTTTTCTCCCAGAATATCGCCACATCACCAACCGGCCAAATGGCACAAACTGGCGGCAGCGAGGATATATGAAAGCACTTTGGATTTTCCTTTCATCTTCACAATATCAAGATTACACCAGCGGGAACAGACTGGGATGAAAAAGAAAAGCGAGGCCAAGCGAGTCGCGCACAACCATCAGTCACGACACCTGCCTGAAAGGACCTTGTTCAGACCCAACGTCGTTCCTCATGTCGTCGCAACCTCGAACCGCCCAGGGGCGAAGAGAAACTACTTCGCTGATAGAGGCGAGAAATGGGGTGATATATCAATTGTTCAATAGCTTGCGTCCTCGTCGTAATAGTGAGCCACAGGCCTGAATGTGTTGACTGTTCTCTCTTATGAAGAGGGGACAGCGACACTGACAGCAGGCGGGTTTGCATAACAAGAGTAAGGAGAGGCACCGATTCATAGCAGCTCAACATTTGCTTGAAACAGAAAATATAACCAAAACAAAAGCCTCTGAAATGCCCTTAATACCCCTGCCCGTGACCCTGATACCCCTGTTGTTGGTTCTGGTTCAGCAGGTTCCCACTCCCACTCCCATAGTTGTTCCCAGTAGCATACCCCCCACCCCCATTCCCATAAACTACCAGGGACAGGGCACCTTCCCCGTCCCGGAACCCTCCCTGCTTGCGGTCCCTCCGGCTTCCCGGACCCCAGAACCGTCTTCCTCATCCCCCAGTCCAAACCCCTCCCACTTTGAACCGAATGAATCTCATAAATCTGACACCAGCTGCGGCGTGCCCCTGAAGCACCCCCTTGTTGCTGAGCTTGACCTTGCCCTTGTGATCCAGCCCAAAAGATAGGCGTCCTCACCACCTCCCACACAACTCCCTCTCTCACCCTCTTTTGCCACAGCCAAACCCTAAAGCCAACCCAGTAGAGTGCCGCCGCTACTAATACTGCCATGGCAGTCATCTGCGGCGCAAACCAATCCACCCTGTCACTCGAGTGAGCAATATATCTCTGCGCAGGATCATAGACCCAAATCGTGACAAGCGGCACAATGTTGGTAGCAGTAAAGATGACCGCCGCAATGACCCCCACGACATGCGGAATGGGGGACTTGTATCGCCAGTTTGATCCAGGCCACAAACGAAGATACAGCATCCCTACCCCAATACACGAAAACCAAATCACATCCAGGCCGTAAGCATACGCCATCAACAGAAGCGAATAACCCGGTAGATGCGAGAACACCACACTGTCAATCGACAACATGGCGGCAAGGATTAGAACAGAAGTAACAGTCCAGTGCAACGCCAAAGCTGCAGCGGGTGACTTTTCCGTATGCAAGAACCCACCGGCTTGATGGTCTGGGATGCGTCTGAACCCATGGCGAAAGGTGAACTCATAGGAAGAAGCAAGATAAATGCTGCCAGGGAGAACACCTTCCTTGGCAACTTCTTGCTTGACACGGGCGGCGGTGAAAGTGAAAACAATGACGTTCCCGATAGCAGATAGGGCGCGGAGCGAGCCGCAGGCGGCCTTGATTGTGCTTTCAGCTACGCCAGACCCGACGGTGCGCTTGAAGAAATTGAAGGCAATGTCGAGGTCAGCTGTGAAGAGGTCTGCTTTGGGGATGTTGGCGGCCTTTGTAAGTGATTGTTAGCTTAAGAGAACAGAGCTGACGCCAAAAAAAGGAGAGGATATCCTACATAGAGAATGGTGATGGTCATAAAGAGGCAGCAAATAAACAGCACTCCGTAACCCGATGTTCGGGCAAAGTTCTTGTGCGGTGCTTTGATCTCAGCCAGAACCTATCATTTGTTAGTTGTTACCTGGGTTTTGATAGCGGATTCAACAAGTTAAACATACGTAGTTGGCCTGATGAAATCCGCCAAAAGGGAAAATTGCGTAGATCATTGCCTCTGCATACTTGTAAACTCCCCATTGAGTGTTATCAGCTCTCTTCAAGGATGTGCTCGAATCAAAGTTGTCTCTTGCCACATCCAGATTTAGCCAACGAAGTCCGAAGATGACCATGATGACAAGCATAGTCACTTTAAGAGAGCCTAAAACGTTGTTGAGACGGATACCCCATTTTCGAGACATGCTGTGGAGTAGACAAGAGAAGGTATTGACAGCCAGAGCAATGGCCACCATTCGGCCGGCTGTTTGGCTGGTGTTTGATGCTTGAAGGACGGCAGCAGCAAAAGCAATCGAGTTGGTCGCCGTGTTGCCAAAGACAAGGAAGGATACTCCGAACAGACATGTGGCCAGAAACCGAGGAAGCTTGAGGAAGTAGTTCAACTAGACTTTGTCAGCTATTTGTTCCAAATAATCTCGTGAAGCGCAAGACTTACATAGGGCAGTTCACCTCCACTTCTTGGGGTTGAAATCTTTGTACCATCCGGTCTCTGCCACCTTGGGACTGTCAAGCCCAACTCGATATAGAGAATGATACCCGATAAGGCGACAGCAACACCGCAAAGCCACAGCAGTAGGGTAACGGCAACACTCTGGGTATTGTAGAAAATCTGCGACGAAGCGTTGAAGATTCCAGATCCGATCATGCGGTTGAATATCAGGCAGAGTACCGAGAAGCGACCCAGACTGTCTTTCTCTGATGGGATCTCTTCGACAATGGCGTCATGGTCTTCTCTCGCTTCATAAAGAGCTTGTTGATCTTGGGGATCCAATCCTGGGGCCCAGTCTGGGGCCTCTGGTGGAGGTTGAGCCTGATTGAAGCCAAATCCTGTGCTCGGATCCGGCTCGGCCGTGGTTGTTTGTTGATACATGGTGTAATACTGCTATATCAAAGGTAAAGCCACCACCATGGTAGCCTTGAGTCGTGATATGTTGTCCAGAATCAGGGTGAACAGATCTTGGGCATCTGGGTACCCAGAGCTTATGGGAGACAGGACATCGTCTCAGCCCTTCTTGGATGCGGGGGAGCTCAGTCTTGTTCACTTCAAGTGGTCGCTCAGAGCCTTTGTCTGGTCACCGGAGCAAAACTCGCCATGCCCGCCATAGACACCGAGAGAGCACAGGCATGGGCTGCCTCCTGCATGACGTGTTAGCAAATGAGCCACTGTGTTTTAGAATTATTGACTAACACCGGGAGCCGATTGGACTCGGTGCAGACGAGCGATGCCATGATGAGAAGTGAAGCGGGATTTCCTGGTTCTAGACCTTCAGCTGAAGCCAGCCAGAGCTGCGCCGTCCAGTGCTTTTAGCCACCCGCATCGGTAGGCGCATCTGGAACCCGGTGACCGAATTAATTTTGAAAGCCTCCGAGGGAATCTGCCTTGCGACGCTGCAAGTTGCTGTCTGTGCCTGGGCCGATGCGTGCGCCTCCTGCGATATTCGATTGATGTTAAGCGGATTCTTTGGATTTCCAGGGCGGACGACGGAAAATGCCATGTTTACGTTAACAAGGCTCCAGGTGAGCAATGCCGGGAAGGAAAGAATGCGGGGTGCTTCTCTTCCCTCTTTCGTCTCCTCGTCCTTTCCTCTGTGCTTTCCCGCTCCACTGAAGGGCTAGGGCCGTTTAACTGAGCCCCTCCCACCTGCCCATCTTGTCTATGCTCCCCACACCTATGGACCTGTCTTTGATCTGTCTGCATTCCGTGCCTCGATCCATGCGGAGCGATGTCGCTGCCCTTTGAGATATCGCAGATTCACGGTGCTCTTGCTCTCGCCTACAGGGTTATTGAGATTGGATGGAGTGACATCCATGACGCTCACGAACAATACCTCGAGTTCGGACAGGACATCAAGGACCTGAGAATCAGTCTTCTCAACCTCGCTGGCGCCATTGACCAAGCCGATCGTGGTTCACTCCTCAACAATAGGCCGACTACTGCTGCTGCCAACAACTTCCACCATGTGCTCGGCAATTTCACCGGCGTCCTTGAGGAGTGCCTACGACTCTTCGAACGTCATTCTACATATGGCTGCAACCGAGGCCCCATCTACAACTGGCGATGGTTTCTCCTCGTCAAGGACGAGGTCATGATGCTGAGGGAGCGTATTGCTTTCTTGAACATAAAACTTTCGGTAGCCTTCAAGGCTCTAGAAATGTATGCCTCCTTGTTTTTATGTTGCTACTTTGAGCGGTGCTGACTGAACCCCAGTGAGACCAGTGATGGCACTCGGAGGCTGATTGTAGGGGTCGGCGAGCTACTCCTACAACGTTTTGACTTACTTGAGGCGAGACTATCGGTAATGCTCGGCCAGCCCCGGCCAGCCGAGCCGGAGCGGGTCCTTGAAATTCCACAGCCCTTGGAGGATTTGTTGGTGGCCATTGCCATCTCGAAACACGGAAGTCTAAGCAGCATGCCCCTCGCACAAGGCATAGATGAAACCATCTTCTATCTCGATAGGGCCACATGCTGGCACGCCAGGAGAAGAGTCGAGCAACCCACCGAGCAGATCCTGGCATCGCAGATTGCCAACATGATCCGAGCTTACTGGACACTTCAGGCCACTAGGTCGGGCAATGAATGCATGGAAGTCTCCTCCAGGGCGACTATTGATGACTTGGAGGCACACTTTCCGCGTCTTGGCATGACGGTGCAGAGATATCTGCACAAGCTAGGAGAGGTAGGCGCCTGTCATTCATGATCTTGAACACTCCCCAGCCTAACCATATATTAGAGGATATTCGATGCTCATGATGCACTGGCTCAGAATGGAAGTCAGGTCCCGACCTGGGCTCAGGTGCAAGATGCTTTACACAGGGAACAGCATAGCTGGGATGAGCATTGTGGTTGGAGGCCACCACAGCATGACGTGAACGATCCCAGGAGGGGCGAGAAGATCTTCACCTGGTATGTTGAGACCTAAGAACCTGTACTGCGTGTTACTAACTTGTACCAGTCGTTTGCAAGATCACAATACTGCCGAGCAATATCTGGAGATATGGCAACACGACGCAAAGAATAACCAGCAACTGACAATGATCATACGTGTAGCCAACAGAGACACAGTCTACCAGGTCGACCGCACAAGTCTCATGGTGATACCATCGGATGATTCGCTGGTTCAAGGCAACGACTTTTATTCCATAATCGTAAATCCCAGCCACCTGGGTGGACAAGCTGGCTTTAGGTTGGCGTTTCACACCAAGGGCGCCCTCTTTGACTTGCAGCAATTCTTTACCGGTTACAGAGTGGTTGATGATCTTTTTGGAGCCAAGATAATTCTGCAGCAAGCAGAAGGGGTCTTGCGAGGAACACAACGGCGAAGCACAGGACGGGTGCAGCTATGGTCTTCGACTGTTAGACCGACTGGCCGAGCCTTGCCAAAAGAAATTCTGACCTCCTCCACGAGCACCTTGAGAAATCTACCTGGCATGGGTTTCAACCCGAGCACGCCGCCACCAGTTTTGCCTCCATTGGATTCTTTCTCGAGGCTGACCCTGTCACAAGAGCCTGCCCTAACCCCCGCAACTAGTCCAACCAGTTCCAGCCAGAGTGTTGAGACACCGCCCCCAATCATGTCTTCATTCCGGCAAACGCCTTTCCCTAACGGCAACAACAGATTCTCAGGAAACAGCTGCAATTCCAACTCCTCCTGGCAACATCCCATGCTCCTGGCTCAAGTCGGTGGGGCAACTCAGTCATCGCCCGTTCCTCAACGCTATTCAACTCAAAGTCACGATTTTCAAACCACGTTAACCTCCCCCGTTTCGCCAGTCCAGAGGTCCAATGCAAACACCAACCGCCCGCTTCCGCGGCGCCCATCAGTCGCATTTTCCGTAACATCTCAATCTTCAGCGGTCTCCGTCGCAAGCACCACCCAGTCTGCTGCTATGATTCAAGTGGGACCTCGAGGAACCATGGGATGCATCATTCAGGCTCCTGAGCCACCTCGCTTGGTGCTCTTCATCAGAGGAAGAACATCAGCAGAGCCAAGTAGTCTGTTGGCCATTGACAGTATGTTTCCTTCCGGTTCTACTTTCTAGCTTTAGCTGATATGAGCAGTCAATTCAAATATTCGAATCAACCCGGACCTCTGCAAATGCCGCCAGGGACGGTCTGAACATCCTCAAGCACGCCAACAAGTAGCTCCATCACAGTGCTGCCAAGTCGTGCTTCAGCCTGCGGGGGGACGAGACAAAATCTATGCCAAGGAGACAGCCGCTCCTGAAGACACGAAAAGTGTCAACAATAAGAAGAAGAACAACGGGGGCGGGACAGAAGGGGTCTCAACGTGGAATCTGGCCAGTGCTGGCAGGTTTCAACAGTACAATGATTTGAGCAAGGGTGGTATGAAGCAGGTCAAGAAATTGAAGCTTGTGACTATTGAGTTTGGCAGTGTCCAAGGTATGTGTGCTTCTGTCTCTGTTACAACTTGCAACTTGAAGTATCTGACATGATTTAGCTCGGCAGCGGTTCGTTACAAACTTTAACGACTTGAAGGAGCTGTACTCGAAGTATGCGGTGGTATGATTAGATGTTTTAGCTTATACACGACAGTGATGGATATACCCGGTTTTGTGTTGGCGTTCTGTGTAAAGATTTGATTTATACAAATGCTGTTTTTGTGTACGAGAGAGCAAGTCACGGTGGCCTGTGCATGGTGTGTACAATACAATTGAAGCCTTATTTCAAAAAGTAAACTCCATTTCATTACACATGGGTTCATAGTGCATGTCGTTTCCACAGCCCTTTATGACTTGGCAGCCGGGGTAATGCTCCTCCGATATTACCTACCCTGCATCCAACCATACGTCGTGCAGCGTCTGCCTAAGTAGTGAGTAGCAGGCCACCATTCAGAGCCGGCTCTTATGTTGATACCAAAGTATGTCAAGTTCCATCAACCTTAAATCGACATCTCTTCCATCCCCCCCCCCATCTTCAATTTTGTCACATCATCACCCCTCACACGTTGAACCAAACAACATCCCTCCGCCTACCCACCATGCCCCGCAAAGTCCGGTACAACCTCGCCGCCTCGCTCGACGGCTTCATAGCCACCCCCACCGGCTCCTACAGCTGGATCGTCGACGACAAGACGATTGATTTCGAGAGCCTGTACGCCCAGTTCGGCTGCTTTGTCATGGGCCGAACAACACACGAGGCATATCTTGCCATGGACCCCGCAGAGAACCCTTTGCGGGCTTACTACAAAACAGGGAGCGTGGTTGTTGTTGGCGACACCCTGGATCGAGATCTGGAGACACAGGTTGAGGTTGTGAAGCTAGGGGAGGTGGAGTCTTTTGTCAGGGAGCTCAAGGGGAGGGAGGGGGAAAAGGATGGTGATATCTGGCTTATGGGTGGGGGCAAGTTGGCGGGGGAGATGCTGAGGTTGGGACTGGTTGACACGGTGGAGGTGGCGGTTATGCCGGTGTTGCTGGGAGAGGGGGTGAAGATGTTTGAGGGAAAGGGAAGAGAGGATGGGTGGAGGTTGGAGTTGAGGGGATGTGAGAGGAAAGAGACGGGGATTTTGATGCTGGAGTATATGATGTTCTTTATGGGGGAGCCCTGGAGATGATGACAAGGAGTGAATTTCGGGGGGTATCATTCTAGATATCAAAGAACGCCCTTGATCCAGCCTTTTCCTCTTATACAACCTCTGTCCAAGAGCTGAAGAAATGGCACCAGATCAGCCCTACACCACATATCTCCCCTCCTCATCGAACCCAACCGAATACGGCCACCTCCTCCTCCTCAAATCCCACCAACTAGGCCTCACATACGCCGCCGGCCTCTGCAACTTCTCCAGACAAATCCCCCTATTATTCCTCCTCCTCCAGTCTCCCTTCTTCCCCAACCCGCACTCACACCTACACCCATGGCCCCCTTCCTGCTCCTCACCCATCCCCTTCGGTGCCTTGCCAATCATCTCATTATCCAAAAGCTGCTTCCCCTTGGCATTCTGAGGACACTGCCAAAAAGGCTCATGATAATACCCAACATCGCTAAAATGATGCACCTCCTTCGCCTCAAGCAGCAAGTGCACCGCCAGCGAGTGAATCGGCGCGTCTCCCCACCTCTCCCGGTAAAAACCCCCCGTTTTATCCAAATGTCTAAACAGTTTCTGGTATTGTTCCCCTCTGAAGAAATCCAAGTCTGCAATTTCAAAGTTGGACCAATAGTGACACAAATTCCACTTCTCGCCCTTGATGTCGTAGTGTTCTCGCCGGAGGACCTTCCCAAGCAGCCAGCGGATGGGCGCCGGTTTCAGCAGCCAGTTCGTCTCCTCGTCAATCATGGCTTTCCAGTTGGGGTGCATGGGGATGTTGTTTTGCGTTCGGAACTCGTCGACGGTTCGGAATAACGAGGGGCACGTGTTGGGTTCCTCCCAGAGGGCGACAGTGTAGCCGTATTTTTTGCCGCGGTCGGCCATCATGACGAAGGGGTCGTAGGTGAGGGAGCAGCCGTAGCTGACGCCTGGCTCGAGGCGCCAATAGTATTTGTATTCTTTCAGGGCGTCGAGGTTGTAGAATTCACTGTTGACACATGACGTTAGTTTCGAGCCATTTCGTGAGAAGAGAGGGTGAAAACACACCCAGAATAAAACCGACACATGTGATGATACCCCTCAATCTCCCCTTTATACACCCCCTCTTCCTTCTGCTTCCTCAAATACTCCCCCACCACCTCCTCCGTCAACCCCGCAGTCGGTCCCCATATCCCCTCGGGTATGACCTCAAACCTCACCTCCCCACTCACAACCTCCTTCATCCCCCTGACAAACTCCTCGCTCCAGGGCTCATTGTTCAGAAACAGCACCGGGTAGTTGAACCACTTGTTAAACCTCTCCTCCACATTCTCCACCGTCTTCCTCGCCTCCTTGAGCTCGCTGTTCCTCGCCAGCATAACCAGCACCGCGCTCTCCCGCGGCCGCGTCACCAGCTTGGAAACATCCTGACATCCAATCGAGAACGGCTCGTCAAGATTATGATGTTCGGCCGGTCGGGGGATCGACAGCGACACCTGGCTGTGGTAGAAGGCCTCGAGGACGGAGAGCAGGAGTATCAGCGCCGAGAGTCTGAACACGAGGTTCACGCGACGAGAGCGGGGCAGGCGGCGCGATATGGCTTGGAGGGAAGGATGGAGGAGGAGTTTCATCGTTTTGGGCGGAGGCGACGGTTGTGGTGGTGCTGTCGCGGGGTCATCTTGGGAGAGGGATGTTGTAGAGTTCAAAAGGTTCAAAACGCGAGAAAGTTGGAATGGGGATTGGGGATGACGATGGGTGGAGCTAGACAGGGGGTTCGGCTCCGTTTGCAGGGGTCATCAACAGCGTATCATTGGGGGCCTTGGGGCCAAGATAGTGAGATGGGTCCAAGTGGTGCCAAGGGTGATTTGGGGGGGTAACCCTAACCCAGGCTTGGAACAGCTTATCCTACGACTGGACCAATCTTGCTTCAATCGTTCAGGGAGGCATAATAGGAGCCTGCAACGCCGGGGAAACAGAGAAACTGCAGTGAATAGATGATGATGTCTGAAGGGTTTCTCAAGCATCTTTTAAGGCCTCTTTGCTATCATCACCCAGGCCTCGCCTCACACAGCAACCAGCAGCACCTTCTCATCAAACTCCATAAACCCATTCACCCACACCAACTGTGACCCCACCGCAATAGTCATCAAACCCTTCGACACAATCCCAATCACAGGTATGTTATCCCCCGTGTGCCACGTCGGCGGAATAAAAAAGTGCCTCGAATAATGTGTCGTTTCCCCCAGATTCTTCACACTCATCGAACACACCCATTGCTTCGTGTCAAGAAAAAACAAAGTCGACCGAAGGATCCCGACAAACCTCAGTACCTCGACATTCTCAAATGCCCGATGTTGGAGCGCCGTTACCTCCTGCTGAACACCGCCTGCAAGTTTTGCCGTGTCTAGCACAGCAAAAACATTAGATGCTCCTTGTCTTTGCCCGCATGTTTTGAGAACATAGTATCGAGATTTCGGATGTGAGACCCACGAGTCCGAGAGACCGAGAAATGGGCAAAGTGCTTCTGGGATTTCGAGGCTGACGGGTTCGCCTAGCTGGCTAAGAGAAGACCAGTCAAAAAGGTGTGTCGTTCGGTTTCCGTGTATGGCGAGCAAGCGGTCGGTGTCGGATGGGTCAGTTCCCCAAAAAGCGCCCAGTTCGACGGTTTTGGACTACCTCGTGATCGTCCATGTCGTCGTCAGTAGCATCCCCATACTCGTCGGTGCGCACATCGTCACCAGTCGCCCCATCATCTTCCGACCGAGCCTGAGGAAGGTTGACAGAAATCAGCCTGGCTCTATTCTCGTAGGCAATCAGTAGCCGCGTGCCATCAGGGTTGAGGATTCCTTGACGAGGGGAGAGCTCTCCGTCCTCGTAGTGGTGGCAACAAGAGAGCTTCGATGTGTAGTGTCGTGATTGGTTATCGAAGTAGGTTACGATGCATTGGCCCCTCCCGGTGCTGCTGAGGAGCAGTTTCTTGCTGCTATTCCAATCCAACGGCATAGTCCAGCGGTTATCGAACCTTGAACAGGACAGAGGCTGGAATCTGTTGGCAAGAATCCCGCCCATGTCAACTTCATAGGCCTCTATGAACCCGTCCACTCTTCCAATAAACAAAAGAGATCCTTTGATTGTCAGAATCTGTTTGATGCTGCCAGCGGAGGCCAAGCCCAATGTTTGTGAGGGAATCACAGTGCTATTTATATTGTCTGAAGGGGGAAGGGCCTTGCTCCTGCAAGTCGTATCCAGGTGTTTGCCATAGCGGTAACGCTCCGAAACCAGCACCGGAGGAGACCAAATATTGCAACATTTGGCCCGAAGATCGAAAAGCTTTAGGTTATCTGTCGAGAATGTGAGGCCGCGACTTGGCTCAAAGGCATCCCCTTCAAAGGGCGGGATCCGGTACATCGGTTGCAAGGTTTCGAACAAAAGCAAGTGGATCGATCCATCATCCGCCTCGCCGACCAAGATGTGGCCATCAGAGGTTGCGCTGAGGTAATCAAACGCGGTGTTGAAATGGCGCCCCTCAATCGGCTCAAGAGTCCAGGGGCTATATGTGACCAGATCACCGTCGTCGTATGACACGGCTAGCAGGTCCGTGCCGTTCACGCGCCTAAGTATGACTCCACGAATGGCGATTTCGACGTTTCTTTTTCCTCGCCGCTGTAAATGGCCCAGTTTTTTATTTTCTTCCACGTCCCAGACCTCCAGTTTTGATGATCCGTAGATCAGTACCGCAATATGTTGTGCAGGGGCGAGATTCATGAACCAAGCTGTAGGCTCAATACCTATTGCGCTGTCTGCCTCGCCGTCCGAGGAGTCGAAATCTAGATCATGACGAAGTGAGCATGTTGCCCTTGAACCATCATGTCTGTTGAACCGGATGAGTGTTTTTAGACGAGCATTGGCAAGTGTGATGTGCTCTCCGTCAGGGGTGAAAGCCACTTCGCAAGCGAGAAAATCTAGAGGCTGCGACCAGATACAGGGAAAAGATGACCCATCCACCGTGCGCACGTCTCAAAGAGAAAGCTTTCGAGCGCTACACGTCGCTGGAATCGATACTTTGGGATCGAAAGCCACCCGTCGTACCCTTCCTCCATGTGAGACTGTCCCCACAGGCTCGAATGAACTGAACTCGGTGTTCCGATAAATCGATACGCTCCCGTCAGACAACGCAATGGCCAGTAAGCGATCGTTGCAAGCAACGGCAGTAGGGAGGTCGGAGAACAGGTAGCATGTCAACCAATCTCCCCAGCTCTTTTCGGCAAGTCCTGCTACCCTGAACAGTGTGCTGAATTTTGAAAACAGCCGGTTGATGATCGATGAATGCGGGCAAAGGTAAGGGACCAGAAAGTAGATCGACGCAGGCGAGTCGAGAAGACAAGATTGAAATGTGGCAATTATCCGATCGATGTCTGTCACCCATGCTTCCAGGCTGCTCAAATCCATGTTGTCGTCTCGCATGTCATTGTTTCGCCGTGATAGACAACCCTTTAATCGGTGATTGGCCTCCTGGAGTATCGATAAATCCCCCATCTTAGTGATATGTTCGATCCATGCCAAGATATTTGTTGAGTGAAGAAACTTGTTCAGTAGTGCGAGTGAGTGCGTGTCATGGGTAAGATGAAATGAAAAGCTGGCAGCCGCATACTTTGAAAAGGGCGAGATGTTCCCTGTCGATTTCGGCGTGTATTGTCGACTCATGGTTGGTGTGAAGACGCTACTGCAGAGAGTGGCCAGACAGATCTTTTGACAGCCTTTCATGGGCTGCTTGTCGGTCTATCCAAAGGCCTTCGCGCTTCTAGATAAGGAAGGTTGCGGTGGTCTCGTGTGCTACTTGAACCCTTGATTCTCTGTCCACAAATATTAGATGTCCAGTAATAGACTTGAGCTGGGTCGGAGATGCTATGACTGTACGGCCAATATCGAGTTTAATAGCCTCATAGAGCTCCGAAACAAGCAGTGGTCGTTGCGCGCAAATAACCCAGTCCAATATGCATTTAACCAGCTCGTAAGTGGAAGAATCCTCGATGGATTTCGTGATGCGTGAATAAAGCGCGCTCATCTTGGATGGGATTCCCTTCAGAGCCTCCTTCATGTCTTCGAAGGTGTAGGAGCTTTCCAGCCGCGCCACCGTCAACGACGCCCAGAGAAAGCTTCCTTTAGCCTTTGACAGGATATCCGAGACGAATAATTCGCGGGTCTGATCGTCCTCCAGTTGGGGGCATCTGGCAAGAATAAATGTTTCGATGTCCTTGAAGGAGCCGGACAGGCCCGTTGAAAGATCGAAGAATCGAGTCCCTTCGTGGTTAAACAGCCTTTGTAATTCCCCGCCGGGACGACTGGTGAGGAAGATATGCAGTGGCACAGTCTTTTCCAGTTTGGAGATCATCGAGACAACTAGTGAGAGGGATTCTTGTGCGCACTCGTCCACAGCATCGATGACCCAGAATTGAGGGCTCTGAAGGTCGATCCCTAGAATACCGTTGGTGAACACCTTGCTCGTCAGCGTGTAATGGTCATCCTCGTCAATCACAACTTCGTCTTCTACCATCCTCATGATGGCCTGCCTAGCCTGGTAGTTAGCCTCAGCCATTTGAAACGCCAGTGATCGCAATAGTGATGCCACATTCGCTCCGGACCGGTCGTTGTGTCGAAAGAAGTAGAAGCTGCAGTCCAGTTTGTGCGACTCCAGATATTTGATGACATGAGTGGAAGCGATCGATTTGCCCGTTCCTGGTCGCCCAGACAGCCACAGGATTCTGGGGCAATGACCGCTTGAACTTCCGGGTAACCCAGCCATATCGGTGTACCCATTCACCCATGCTTGGAAAACATCGTTGCTGGTCAACCACTGGCAGGAACCACGGTGCTGCTTCTCGTTGAGGGCAAGGAAGATTGACTCTGGCCGTTTCTCGATCCGAAGAAATGAGGAGATCTGTTTCATCTGTGACCGATGCAGATTTGTCGGTTGGTCCAAGGCTGTTGAAACGTGTTTAGTCAATGTCTAAACCAGCATCATTTCTGAAAGTGACCACCTACTCTTTAATTTCAGTTGCTTGATGGTGGAAAGGAAAGAATTACATAAGACCAAGTAATTTGGACTAGTGGGGCTGTCAAATTTGCAGAGATGGCGGTGATCAGCCTCCATGTATCGAACATGCTCTCCAGGAAGCCCTTTAGCGTCAGAGTTAGACAACAATCAGCTTGAAAGTGGTCGGATGTGCAACCAACCGAGATCAGCAGATTCTTTTTCCACAACAAGGCCAAAGCTCATCGGAACGCTTTCGAAGAAGGACCATATTTGTATTCTGTTGCAGACATGGCGGAATTCGTCGTTCAGGTGCTATTACCATAGGTTAGGCAGTGGCCAAAAATGCCGAGAAAATAAGGGACGGACATACATCAATGGTCCGGTTTCCAGGAACAAGATCGTCAATGAAGGATTTTGTTCTGTTACCCGCTACATACCTGTATAGTCACCCGACAACATTTTTTGGCTCAGTTCGTATTAGTCTCAGAAGCTGAGCAAAGAGTGAACGCAGCAAGCATCGCCCTGAGCCGAAGTGGGTCCGAGGACGGCCCGGTGTGACGATCCCCTATCCAGAACCTCTGAAAGGGACACAGTTGAAGGTAACTTCTAGATGATAGATCGGTGCAGCCAAAAGGAGCACAACAATAGGCTTGTCTCAGTCGTACTTGTATTGCTCCATCAATCCGTGAGTTTATATACTGTAAATGCGACCAAAAAGACTCTGCATCTCGCTGCCGTGAGATCTGTTGGTAGCTCTTTGAGCTACGTCTTGACAATAGAGCCTGTCCGTACCCGGCGGAATATAGCGTAGACTGTAGCTTAGCTGAATACCACTGTCATTGTCCTGTCAACTTGTGCTATCCGTGACAAGGATGATGACATGAAATCCCAGCCTTCTGCTAAAGCCGGAAACGGCTTTTTTCATTTTGCCTGTGTAGGCAGCGATGGTCTGCCTTTGCTGGAGCTATAAACAGCTTCTAGGTTTTAACCTGGGCAACAAGGCATAGGGAACCGCTACTTTTATTGAAGCCATAAATAGCTTCTAATGGCGATACACAATAAGTCTGTAGGTGATTGTGGATGAAACTACACTTCCGGATTCTTAAGGCTATTTCCCTCGTGGATTCTCTTCTTCTTTTGAAGCATCATCCGCTACAACATGAGAGTGTCAAGGAGTGTGATGAACCGATGATCAGAACCTCTGAGAGCGATACTGGGTTGATGTCACCAACAGGCCTTGGCTACGACCAACAGCACAGTAAACTCCAAGTCCTGGGCCAGTTGTTGGAAAGTGAAGCGAGCAAATAAGCCACAGGTGGCATGGGCAGACGTATTATTGGTTAGGTCATGTATATTGAGATGGGGCTAAATGCGAGAAGATGATAGTAAGAAGAAAACTTCCTAAGACCGTGGCTAACTGCAGTTTCCAGTTACGTAGGAAAACCAACATCATTTGCTGAAGAGGTTGCTAAAAGAGCCTGCATCCATTTGCCCTTGAAATGCACGGCTACTCTTCGTGGTCGTTAGGCTGCCAAACGACTGGTCCACGCCTGGCTGTGCCACGCCGACTATCCCTTGCATAGCAATCGAATGGTCGTCTGTCTTCATTTCACCAAACTTCTGCCCGGTACGGCATGCGCGGGTCGCCGACAGAGTCTTCTGGCAGACATCTCTAAGGCTATCCGTTAACCGCGCGCTCGAGTCTCCCTCAGCTATGCCGTCGTCATCTGCTTGTGACTCTGGTTCTCTTATCGATAGTTGTGCACTCAGATTGGCTAGAGCCTTCTCCTGTGTAGCAAATTGAGTCTGAAGCTGATCGATATTCCCAGAGGTGCGGCTCGAAACAATCCTATTCTGTGTTAGTGGAGTTTCTCGGTCAAATGAGTGGGATCTGTACAGCGTGATTGAAGATAGAACCATCGTGATGGTTCTTTGACAGTCCGCCAAATCTCTGTTTAGTTTATTTATCTTTGAGTCTTGAAAGTATACGACGAGTCTGTCGCGTTTGCTGAAATGCGAATCCGTTGAATGGCTGGTAACTCTTGTCATGGCAGCTGTGAATCCTTGACAAATAGACTTTGTCGACTCCAATACCTTGTTAAGCTCTATCTCCTTGAGAACGGAATTGACTGTGTCAGGCGCACAATTCGTTTCGAGTGTTCGCGCTAGAGTACCTAACGTTGTTTGGGTCTGGGAAAGAAGGCTCTTGCTGTGCGAAACAGAATGTGGGGCATCCGCGAGTCCATCAACCAGGTCGTGAAGAGCCTTAGCGCTCTGTAACGCGGCAGTCGCAAGGGCTACAGCACTGGCAGTAACGCTGAGGGGATCCATAATCCGTGAAGAAGAATGTGTGACAAGGGCTGTAATATCAGGGTTGGGAATAATGGTTCAATTCAGACTAATAATCTTCAGTGGCCTCCAGTTCTTTGACTGTTGTCTATCGGACAGGTATTTATGCCTTACTTCCCAACGACTGGCTTAGAGCCTGCAGTTACCCCTCATGGAGGCCTGACGGTGATCTGATGTTGACGTGGCCGTGGATGATTGGTTAGTTGCCGTGTGACAGAATGTTGGAGAGGAGTTCGTGTAACGAACCCCTATCCAGAACCTCTGAAAGGGATACTGGTTGAAGGCACTTCTGAACAATCCTGGTTCGGTCAGCTAAACAGCGTACAACAAATGGCTTGTCTCGATCACAATAGCTAAGATACCAACGATTGTGACTTAAATTGCACACTGCGGAACTGTCTATCTACACTAGCCTCAACTAGCCACCTGGGACACTCTCCCTCATACAACACCAGAATTGACACCTTTTTTGGGCCCCATATTGTATTTGACAAGCTGTAAGCTCTCCGGCCTAGCGTTGTAAGAGACAACCGTTGATCATTGTTGTGTGCCATTTGGCTACACCGAACCGGTATTCAGGAGTCGCCTTTGATCTAGCATCCCTCTCAGAGGTCCTGATCGAGGGTTCGTCACATTATGTGATGGGCGGTTTCCATGGCTCAGCCGCACTCCGCCCTCAGTCGCCCGTAGCGCCCGTAGCGTCTCTTCCCACGTGATCTCTCCAGCCAGCTTACGCGCCAGGTTCGTGCAGTTATCGTTCTTACTGGCATTATCTTCGTTTCCAAAGCATTACTTTGTCTCTGCAGTGATCTTCATCCAGCGGCCAGCGCGTCTCAGTTATAAAATTATTTCACATCGCGCCCGAGAGAAATCCGTCAACTAGCGCAATGGCGAGGGCGGGGCAACATGTGGAGCAGTGCTTTGGGAATGCGGAAGCTTCCCACGGCGGCTTGCTGTTCCAGGGTCACGTTAACGGATCTCTCCACATCCATCGTAAGCCAACGTCTATCTGTTCTACGCTAACGATAGACGGCAACTGACAGTAAGACAGACGAAACACGGGCGAAACAGCACGCTGCGCAGCGGATTATCCCGTTTCCGCGCAATGAGGACGTAGTGGACCGCTACATCTTCGCCGCGCTCGACCGGCTTCTACCCCCCTCGCACGACTACCAGAGCGCGGCGCTCTGGGGTCTCGGCGGCTCCGGGTAAGTCTACCACTAAGTTACACTGCATCCACTGACCGGAAAAGCAAAACGCAGATTGCGCTTGAGTATGCCTACCGCCGGAGCCGTGACCCCGCCTGCTCTGTGTTCTGGGTCCACGCCGACAACGAGACGACATTTACGCAGGACTACAAGGTAATTGCGAAGAGGCTGGGCCTGGCGGATGGTTTGGGTGGTCCAGAGCTGTTAATGGCCGTGCGTAAGCAGATCGAGGCGAGCCCGTGCTGGCTGCTTATTCTCGATAACGCCGACAACCTCGCTGTGTTTGGGGTGGGCCGGACACAATCAGGCAGAGACCAAGGTCAGGACACAGAAGAGAAGCAAAGTCTGTATGATTTCGTGCCCCGGGGCCCCGCAGGGACGGTGCTGTGGACAAGTCGTGATAAGCGGATTAGCGGTAGCCTTGTGGGTGGCCGACGAGCGATTAATGTCGCTAGCATGACGGAGGGAGAGGCGAAAATATTGCTCGAAACGGTCATGTGTAGAGAGATTGCCGAGGAGGAGTCCCACAACGCTACGGCGCTACTTGCCGAGCTCGACTTGCTCCCGCTCGCGGTATCACAGGCGGCAGCATATATGGGAAGGACAGCCACCCCAATCGGCGAGTATTTATCAAAGCTAAAGAAACGTATAAAGAGATGGCAAGTGCTCAGCGAGACGGAGTTCGACCGACACCGCAGAGCGGATGTGTCGAACAGCGTCATGCAGACGTGGGGTATCTCAATCGAGCACATCCGACAGGAGAACCAGATGGCCTACAATATCCTCCACTCGCTTGCATTTGTAGACAACCAAAACATCCCGTTGGAGTTGGTGGCGAAGGCAGCCGAGATGATAGCAAGACCGACCAGATATGAAAAAACCGCAAGCGCGAAGTCTGTATGCATCAAGGACCAGGACGAGCACCAAGACGAGCACCAGGACGATGACGACAAAGTCCTAGCAGCAGTGGTTCTTCTACAACACTTTTCGTTCCTAAGTCCGCGCACGTCCGGCGAACGGTACGGGGCCTACGAGATGCACAAACTCGTGCAGGAGGCTACACAGTATAGCTTAAGCCAAGAGGATCGGCGGACGGACCAATGGCATTTTTCGGAGGTAGCTCTTCGTGCTGCCACATCTTTATTTCCGGAGGGGCGACGAGAATTATGGGGAGAGTGCGAGAGATACCTCAGACATGCGCAGCTTGCGGCCGGATGGGCCGGGTTATGTAGGGGTGGGGTAGAGGCAGCGGCGCTGTTGACTCGAGTGTCGGACTATCTATATGACCGTGGGAGGTGGAGAGAGCGGGAGCCTGTGGACCTAAAAGCCTATGAGTATCGAAGGGAACTTCTCGGCGACAAGCATCCTGACACGATCTGGAGTATAGCGTCGCTAGCCACCACATACCATGCTCAGGGGAGGTATGAGGAAGCGGAGAAGAATTACATGGAAGTGCTGGCACTACAGCGTGACGTTCTCGGCGACAAGCATCCTGACACGATCACGAGTATGGCGTCGCTAGCCACCACATACCATGCTCAGGGGAGGTATGAGGAAGCGGAGAAGAATTACATGGAAGTGCTGGCACTACAGCGTGACGTTCTCGGCGACAAGCATCCTGACACGATCACGAGTATGGCGAATCTGGCCGCCACATACCATGCTCAGGGGAGGTATGAGGAGGCGGAGAAGATCAAAGTGGAAGTGCTGGCACTACGGCGCGACGTTCTCGGCGACAAGCATCCTGACACGATCTGGAGTATGGCGTCGCTAGCCGCCACATACCATGCTCAGGGGAGGTATGAGGAAGCGGAGAAGATCTAAGTGGAAGTGCTGGGCCAAGCTCATCCCTCTGCTTTAAGATCTTTACGCGCCTTCAATTTATGGGGGCCGGACAAGAAGAAAAGCTCTCGTATACGCCGAATGTTTGGGCGTATAGCTCATCACGTCAGAGCTACGACTCCACAGTAATCGCTGGCCGAATTAGGGGAGCTGGAGGGATGTTGTCGGCGCCAATTGACGGTCTCAAGGTGGTGTATTGTAACTAGCTAGGCCACTCTACGAGTACACTGAACTTGGAGAAGAAAAGGAAAAAAGAAAGAGAAGTTTTGAGGATATGAGCCTCTGATATAGCTGGGCGTTGGCCAGTACGCGACGATATAAGGTTCTGGTGTAGTGGTTTGTGTATGTGGCTATGTGAGTTCGGAATAGCTTCATCAAGGGTGTTGCCGAAGGTTGTCGAGGTCTACATATGCCAGGACTTATCCCGTTACATTACCCCCCTCCTCTCCTAGGATGTCCGATTAGGGAGGGGAGCCCTTTCCGTATTTCTCCTCGAATATATCTAGCGCCTCCGTTTCCTCGAAGTTACTTAGGGGTTTCTATATAGGCTTAGCATAGCTAGACCATTTTATCAGGAGCTCTGTCCTTCCCCTTACCTTCTTTACCTCTAAGATTTCATCCACTTACCACTCTAGTTTCTTTTCTCCATCGTTGTTAATTCCGATCAGGGTTGGAGGCTGGGTATCGTCCTGTTTTTGTGATGCTAAAGAGTCTTCCACTGCCCTTTTTAATATATAATGCGGAAAACGTTATAAATCCCTAGTGGAGTATCCAGTCGATAGGCATAGGAGCCGATCAGCTTAGTGATAGTACACGTGTATATCTAGCGTTCAGCCAATCGAGTTTAGCCGGAGGTCTATCTGTCTTAATCTACTATAATCGTAACATACCTTATTCCTAACACGGAATTGTTCAGCTGTCTAGCGTTCTTTATTAGCGTACTCTTCCTAACGTTCTTACTTCCAGATCCAGGACGACCGTTCGAGGTCGAGACGGATGCCTCACTCCGCCATTGGAGACAAAGATGGGAAGTTACACCCAGTAGCCTTCTTTTCGAATAATTGGAGGGACTACGCAAGAACTACCCGATACATAATAAAAACAGCTATTTGCCATTAGAGAGGCCTTAGAGAAGTGGAGACCATACCTCAGCGCTACCAACCACGAGTTCCAGGTCTACAAGGACCACAAAAACCTGAAATACTTCACCACCACCTAAGGTCCTCAATGCGAAACAAACTAGACGGTTCAAATTCTTATCAGAATTTAATTTCCAGATCCACTATAAGAAGGGCTCCGATAACACAAGAGCGGATGCGCTGAGCAGAAGGATGGATCACTACGAAGAAATCACGGGAAAAATGACCGGAAAAATCACCATCCTTACGGTAAGAAATAATAGGAGGAATATTAAGGCACCCGCTTCAGCAGTGGGCTGGGTATTGCGCGGTATACCGAGAAGAATCAACAGCCAAAAATTATCAAAGTAATATCAGCAGCGACTATTAGGAGCGATAGGCTAAGCTGGAATCTTCGAGGATCTAAAAAGACGACAATTATCGACTCTGGCCTGGGATGTCACAACCGGGCTTACATCGAGCCGGGACAACGGAAGACATTGATTCAGGAGGTCCACGAGCTAAGACTCGGGGGACATATGAGAATAAATAAGACAACAGAAAATATCAAACAATATTTTAACAGGCCAAGATTGAGGAAAGTATGGAGGGAGCGCTACGGGGATAACCTTGGCAAAAGAACAAAAGCAGAGAAACACAAGCTTTACGGATTTCTGGAACCATGACCATTAGCAAAACAACTAATTATAGAGCTCAGTAACCATAGACTTGATCACGAAACTACTAGTCTCCAGAGACCCGGTCACCGGCGTCAAATATAATCGCATCCTCACAGCTGTTAACAGACTCACCAAGTAGGAGTACTTCCTGCCTTACAAGGGGACCTGGACAGCGGAGTAATTAGTAAGCGTGGTGTTTCGGAATATTACAGTAACATATATATAGCTAAAGGAGTTTGTTATAAACCGCGATGCGAAGTTTATATTAAAATTTTAGAAAACTTTAATAAAGCAAGTAGGAGTCAAGAACAAAGTGTCGTCAGTATATCACTTGCAAACGGACGGCCAAACAGAGAGGCTTAATTAAATCGATGAATAATATCTTCGGAACTACGTTAACCTCGAGCAAGATAACTGGGTTGAACTTCTGCCGGCAGCGCAACTTACTTACAATATACCTTCTACGGAGATAAAGTAAGTCACTCCATTCTTTGCAAACTACGGGTTCGAGGCGGATCTACGGATAGGACCAGAGGCAAGAGTGCCTAAAGCAGCAGTCAAAGCAGGCAAACTGCATATACTGCACACCAAACTCAAGGTAGAACTCGAGTTCGTCAGAGAACGTATGCGCAGATACTATAAAAATAAGCAGCTCGAGGAACCTGGCCTGAGGGAGGGAGATAAAGTGCTTTTATTAACACGGAATTTAAGTATAAAACGACCTAGTAAGAAGTTGGACTACAGGAAGGTGGGACCCTTCGAGGTCGAGAAGAAGGTGTTAGAGACAGCGTACATGCTGAAGCTACCTAGCACTATGCGACTTAGATCGCGGACCTTTTACATTTCACTCTTGGAACCAGCACCACGGGCGGCTAGTCCAGATACACAAATAGAAGCCGAGGACGAAGAAGAGGAGTACGATATGGAAGAAATCTTTGATTCCCGCATTAATAACAGACAACTGGAGTACCTGGTTAGCTGGCTGGGCCGACTATAGACAACTCGTGGGAACCAACGACGAATCTTAACTGCGCTGAGAAGCTGAAGGTTTCACTAGAGGAACCTTGACCGACCGCGGGAGGCGGCACAGACAAGGTAATAAGGTTAGCTCCCGAGAGATCTAAGCGGAAGGAAGACTAGTTAAAAGAAGGGCCAAGGCTTAAGGGAGGTATTTCGCCGGACGCGCCAGATGCAGGCTAGCTAGCCGAGAAAGAAGGGGGAGCGTCGGGGGCAGCGGACGAGGAGGTAGATTGCTATGCCTCCTCCTCTAATATACTACAACTAAACAGTTTAATCTCTCGCTCGCGCAAAAATCAAGGGGTGCGCTTGACCCGGGCAAGGCGGGCAACGAGGGAGGACAGTTGATTTCCCAGTTCTTCCTCCTCCTTCGCGAGTTCCTGTTGAACCTCCAAGTTACGGGTAACTGGTAAAAGCTGTTAGGTAGGATACCTAAAGAGAGGGAGAGACTTACGGGCAGAACCCACGTCCGTATTATCACAAGGGATCTTCAGGCATATACACTCGCTACAGCGACTGGACCCTTGCACTAGGACGAAAGGAAGGTTCAAGGAAAAGCAGCGGGTGTACGACATGATCTCACAACCGCGCCTAACGATCGAGCGCAAGAGGGCGGTGGCCTGACCGGTTGTACGGTGACGTTTCATCTGCACGCGATGAGATATGATTACGGGCAAGGAGAAAAAGAGCATAAATACTGACCGAAGAAAATGGGGAGTTAGTTGGTTCTGATGAATTAGGACTCGGCCGGCGAGGCGTCGGCCTAGAAGGAATAGCATTATGTTATAAGCTATGTGCGAGGACAGGTGCGAGGACAGACGCGAGTACAGTCGGGACACTGGGTGGACCAATGAGCAGAGCGTATTACGGTGGGACGTAAATCAGGTAGATAGCTAATTAGAAGACGACCCACAGACCGGCACAGGGGGAGCGGTCCAATGGTCCAGGATGACCACTCACGAGAGGACCGATGGACCGACGAGTCGGGATCGGTCCTACAATCAAAGAGGACGAGGGGTATATATATAACGTGCATGATAAGCGAGCGACGCAGACAAGCGAGCGACGCACTCTCCACCACCTTACTATAACTATCCTCAATTGCTAGACCACAACATTAAGAACCAACTACAATTACGTCAGAAACAGCTGAATCAGACCCTTCTGCAGCCTCCTGGCAAGTGCGGGAATTATGGCCAGGCTTGCCGCACACACTACAGCACTGAACCTTCGTACG